TCTATTTTTAAGGGTAGTGAAGGAATGATTTATTTCTTGTAATATGATAGCATTGCCACTACCCTGCCTTCCAAGAATAAAGCTAGTCTGGTTTGCTGATACAATATGGGGAAGAATGGCTCTCAACCTATTAGCTATAATTTTAGTAATAATTTTATAGCTAACATTACATAGGGATATAGGTTTAAAGTTACTAATATATTCAGGGTTATCCATCTTAGGAATGAGGCTAATGTGGGTTTTATTGACTTCAGCCATTTTTGCAGGGTTTTGAAATATATCCAGGACAAAATTAAAAATGAAAGGAGCAAAGAAATTCCACTGATTTTTATAAAATAGAGCATGGATACCATCTAGTCTAGGAGACTTAAAGTTACCAATGGAAAAAAAGAGAGGCATTAACCTCATTTATAGAGATTGGGGATGATAAACTAAGCCTATCACACTCTCTTAGAGGGGAAAACAAAGTAGTAGTGGAGAGAGTAGAATTATACGGAGAGAGATCAAAATAAAACTTTTTAAAATAGTCAAGAATTATGAATTTCAGTTTTGAGGAATTATACTCCTAATTTCCATTTTCATCTTTTAAAATTTCAATTAAATTTTTATTTCTTCTAAAAATAGCAGTTTTATGAAAAAATTTTGTGTTTCTAGCCCCTAAGCTAAGCCATTTAGATCTGTAATGGTAAAACTAATAGGATTCCTTATGGTCCAGAATCTGTTGGTACTTTTTTCAGAGGGATTTCATGAGATTACATAAGAAAGAGTTATCCATAGAACCTAACTTACAAGAGATGTCATTTATTCTACTCAAAATACACTTCTTTCTATAAAAAATATTACCAAAAGTAGTTTTATTCCAGTAAGAAATATTATCTTTGAATCTGTTGATGTTATCATTCCAAGAATTATAAGGAAACCAAGAATTTTTAACCTGGTTAAGAAAATCTAGATGGGAGATCCAGGGAGATAGGAATTTGAAAGGCTTTACAAGAGTAGGAAGTTGCTTATTTGTTCTTATTCTGAGCCAAAGTCCAACATGATCAGATTTTAAAATTGGAATGTGAGTAACTGAACTATTAGGGAAATAGACTCTCCACTCATCATTTGTAACCACCCTATCAAACTTTTCTTTTAGGTTACTTCTTTGCCATGTGAAAGGATTACCTTTGTAACCCAAATCATACAAGTCACACCTATTTAAGCAATCAACAAAACTCTTCCTTTGTTGTTGACTAACAGAACTACCGCCTCTCTTTTCCCAGTCATAAAGAACTGAGTTGAAATCCCCAGCAAGGCACCGAGGGCTTTGAATAGATTTGCTAAAATCTATAAGTTCATTCCAACAATCAATTCTAGTCCTTTCTTAGGGGCTAGCATAAATTGATGATAAGATCCAATCAGGTTGACCAAGATTGCTAATTTTAAGGTGCACAACATACTTAGTTTTTAATAACACAGAAGCTTTAACTTTCTTAGTATTCCAGCAGACTCAAATTCCCTTAGAAAATCCTATTGCATCTACTTTAGTTGAGCCATCTAATTTTAAGTTGTTAATAATTTTGTCCAAACTAACTCTAGGGTCAAATAAAGCAATCAAGTCAAGATTATGAATTCTAATTAAGTCATTCACTAACCTAGAAAAGGTTTTATTGTTAGGCCCCTATAGTTCTAGAAAAGACAGTTCATGAATATGGAAAGTGGATTAATTAGAATGCATCTTTAAGATACTGGTCCTTTACTAGACTGCTATCCAGAGGCATAGTTTTCACTGAGTCAGACTGTAACTCACTTTTGGCCTGGTTTTTATTACACTATTCATGGAAGAGACAGTATCAGGAGGTTCTCCTAGCTGAGGACTCCAAGCCTGAATAAGATTCATTCCTAAGAGGTCCTGAATGGACTTCCCCATGTTGGCCTGACTTTCTAAATCTTTCTGCATTATTCTCATTAACTGAAAGGTATCTTCTTGATTATCATTAACCTTTTTCTCCAGAGGAGTATAAGAAATAGCGTGAATTTTGTTCACTAAACCAGCACTAGGTTCACTACTATGATTGCCCGTCCTATTTTTTAATTTTAATTTAGGTAACTTTTTAGAGCTAGGTTGGGAGTTTGGTATTATAGGGAACTTATTCTTATGCTTAGGTTTACTAGAAACCAACATACTCTTGATTTCAGAATTAGTCTCACAAATAATGGTTTCCATATTCTGATTATCATTGCCCATTTCCTGATTTTGGAAATCATGAGAACTATCCAAAATTCCAAACCTAGAACCTATGAAGGATTCCTTACCTTTCCCAGAATTAATAGAATCACTCATGGACTTGAATTGTCCAGGCTTTTTCCTAATTGGTTTTTTAGCCAGCATCCAAGGGCCAAATCTATTTAGCTCTTCACTATTACTATCCTCATGCCTATCTTGAATACTATCCCAAGAGAGGCTCTCCATGTCATTAGGATCAGACTCCTTTCTTATATTAGGATTATTAAGTAAAGGGTCATGTTCTATATTTTCTTGAACTAGCTTAAAATTTTCTTTACATGAATCTATCTTGTGCCCATATTTTCCACAATGAAAACAAATCAAATGCAAACTCTCATACTTAACTCTAAATTCCTGCCCTAGAGCTTTGAAGAAGGGGACTAACTTTCTGTTAAGATCTATTTCAACACATATCCTAGCAAATTTTCCTCTCGCAAGTAAAGAGGTATGAGGATCTATTTTTAACATAGTTCTTAGGCAAGACCCAACCTGCCAGAGAAATTTCTCATTATAAAGTTCTAGAGGTAGGTTAGGAACCCTAATCTAAACAACAATCTTCCTAAGACAGTAGTCTTGAGGTCTAAATAAAGGCCTTCAACGCTGAACAAGAAGATAATGATAAAAAATTAGCCAGAGCCCCCTAAAGAGGGCATGCTTATAATCCTCTAAACTTTCAAATTTTATTAAATAGAAATCATTATTGAGGTCCAGGATCTTGAGGCTCCCATTTTTACCCCATAGATTAGACAGCTTCTGATTTAGAAAATTAAAACTAATATTCTTGCCTAATAGTTTTACAATCAAAGTGTATTTCTAAGAATTACACCAAACTTCATAGTCCTCTACCAGAACTTTTATTTCAGGGCATAGTTTCTGAACCTCATTTCCCTCTATAGCAGGTTTATCATAATCAAAAGGAATCTTAAAATCTTCCAAGACCGATTTTATTATTTCTTTATCATTAAATTCTAGATTTGTGTCCTTACCAACCAAAACTTTTTCTTTATATGACAAGCATAACGAAGATTTAGGAAAAGAAAGCACCTGGTTAGAAACACCTTTTTCACAATCCTTCCTTTGTGTTAGCGGATCACTACGTCCATGGTGCTCTTATATTCTATTTTTACTTTTTTTTTGCTTCTGATCATTAAATTCAGTTCTTCTTTGGATTACACTTCTTCTTCTGTAATCTACTCCTTATCTTCCTTCAGCCTCCAAGTCACAGATCCAGTGAAAACTTTTATCAATATCTCGCGATGGCTGCTAGCTGAGCCCACGAGAAGCACAACAGCGCAAACACAGAAAGGAACTTAGGGTTGAGAGACCCTAATTGAAAAAAGTGAAAAAACTCTCTCGAAACAAGAAAACTTTTCTTGGAGAGAGAAAATATCTTTGACCAGAATTTAGACGTAATTTTTTATATCTTTGTTACAACAAATTTTATGAGTAGCAATATATTAGTTAATATATCACTTAATATTTATATTAGAAGTATAATTTTTTTATATTAATAAATTTAAAATTTTTTATACTTAATTAAATTTTTTTATTTAATGTATATTTGATAAATTATAATTTATTATTTTATTAGCTATTATTAAATATAAGTTAAATAAAAAATTTAGATAAATATAAAACTATTTAAATTTATTTTAATATAAGAAGATGGTTAGTGTTATATATGAATGATTTAGCTTAAGAAATTGTGGTAACATGTTATGAGGACGCAGTTTTCCATGTCATGAGGTGCCGACTTACAAAAATAGTTTGTTGACAGTTGTATCCTTTCCGTGACATCCACCTTCACTCTTTCTCTTTGTTCTCCTAATAGTTGATAGTTCCTTTCTTTCAACCCAAATTGACGTGTGTCCCCTCCCTTTCCTTTCTTTGCTCATTGCTCGCTTGCCCTTGGATTACTCATTACTCTCTCCTGTTTTCCGTTTTATATATATAATATTTTTACTGAAAATTTTTATATCTTATTTTTTTATTTAATTTATATCTAACAGTTAATTTATTATTTAAAATTATTTTTTATTAAAAAATATAATAGTATATTAATAATATAGTTTTAATATAAAATTTTAAAAAATTATTATAAATTTTATTCTCTACTAAACTTTTTAAGTTTTTAATATTTAATATAATAATATAATAAATAAAAATATTTAAATATTATAATTAACTTTTCAGTTTCGTTTACTTCCATCCTAATACTAAGTTTATATATATATATATATATATATATATATATATATAATATCTTATTAACAAAATTTGATATATTTTTATATTTTTAATGTAATAAATATTTTATTTTTTATTAAAATTTTTTATTTTTAAATGCTTACAGTTAAATTTAACAAATAAAATTAACAAAATTGTTAATAAGTATCAATGCATTAACTCATTTTTATTATATTTTAAAATTTTTATCATTTAATTAGAAGATTCTTATACATCAAATTAAAAAATACATAAAAATTAAATATTTTTTTATTCAAATTTAAAACCGATAATTTTTATAATTTATAAAAAATAATTTTTTCCTATTATTTACATAATTTTTCTATAATCTATTAACTAAAATATATCATAAATATAATTTTTATATTAATTATTATAAATCGAGTGAGGTAACTTTTTTTTAATTATATTACTTTTTGAAGTCATCAAAGAATTTCATAGATCTTTTTATCATCACCGTTCGTGTATTTATATATACGACGAACAGAGAAACTTGATTAACAGAATTCTGGCTGTGCAAACGGCACAGCACAATCGTTGTTTGTCTGAATCGAAAACTGGTTGACAAGTTAATATGTCGGACAACGAAAACCATGCGGACTATACATACAACGAATCCTCTGCAAAGACCAAGCGCAGGTTCAGGGACAGGTCCAAGGTAAGATTTCACCTTCAAACCATTTTTTGTTTGATTTCCACACATGACTGTATCTGTTTTTGATTGTTATAATAATATGGGTTTGTTATTGTTTTGGATCAAAACGAAGGAGGTATTGTCCAAACAAGCTGTTAAGATAGCCAAACAAGCTGAAGAACACGAAAGGTTCATCAACAAGGTGGGTCTTTCCTGCTTTCTGATTCGTGTATTTATGGTGTGTTTGGATTTGCTTCAAATTCACCAAATGTGGCTAGTTATAGTTTTTATGATAAAACATCAGACATGCACCTAGTTATATGTTTTTTTCTTCATTATGTGCGACTACTTGGGTGTGTTAATTTTGAACAAGTTTCGAGTTTGATGTGATGTTTTTTTCCTCTTTGTAACTGTGAAGGTGACTCATCTATTGGGGGTTCTTAGCTTTGGTGGGTTTTGCTTTCTGTTGGGGGCAAGTAAGTTGATTCTGACAGTGCTATGGTTTTTCTGCTTCTCTTTTATTATTCTTCAATTTTTTATTATCTTATTTTTTCAGGACCACAAGACGTTCCATTAGTATATTGTTTGTTCTATGTCGTCTTTGTTCCTCTTCGATGGATATATTATAGGTTCAAGAAATGGCACTACTATCTCCTGGTAAACGATATCTCAAATTCTGTTTTTTAAGTGTATCCCAAATTCTGTTTTTTAAGTTTGTTGGACACTTACTTATGAAACTATATTGCTTTTGTTAACACCGGCTTTTAAGACCCATTTTAAGCATGCAAAATTAGTAAATTTTTGTTGGAAAAAATCAAACTTATTATAGTTTTGCATTTTCAATCCAATAAATACTATTTTTTTAAATAAAATTTTATTAATTATAGATGCTTAACATAGGCTCTAAGTACTTCTGTCGAACATTTTTCAACTTTTATGTGCTTCTGGAAGCATATATTTGTTTCTAGTTAGTACGGGTTTTATTGGCAGATTGGCACCATTTAATCTTTTTGTATCTTCTTTAGGCATTTTTTGAGAAGGGTTTACAAACAATAATATGTCACTGTCAAAACAAGCGGTGATCTTGATTGTGCTGTTAAAGAGAAACATTTTTTTTTTAAGTTGAGTGGTGTTTGAGGCACAGGGCTGCAAAATCATTAGAAGAGGGCTCTGTGAATTTAAACTATGTTTTTAATTTCCTTGCTAATTAAAATCATTGGAGCAGTGTCTCAATATGTTTTATACATTTTTTTGTTGCCGCTATGGAAATGTTAATGAAAATAAGGTAGTTAAGTAATCGTTCATGCGTTTCAGGATTTTTGCTACTATGCCAATACAATCTTTTTGGTTGACCTCCTTTTTTACTCAAGGAACGAAAAACTTTTTCTTGTTTGCTTTTCTTTTGCTGAGGTAAGCATGTTATCCCTGGTAATTTGATTTCTTAGCAGAAGAATGGTTTCATTTGTAGATTTTCTGACTTATTTAAGTGCTGTTGCAGGGGCCATTAGCATGGGCTTTGATTGTTTGGCGCTGCAGCTTGGTTTTCAGTTCTGTTGACAAAATTGTTAGTGTTCTTATCCATCTTTTACCAGGTATGTTATGCCTTCATTTTTCAGTATTCCTCTCTTTCTTCAGCAAGATAATATAATTTTGGAAAACCATATGCTTCTAATATGATCGTTGTAGACTTATGCTTTCTATGATCAAATATTGGCAGGGGAATATCTGCCAAAAAATTACATTGGGTGTTGGTGTTCTGCATAGCTTGCATAATAGTAAATTATGATGGAATATCTCTATTAAAATGTGCTTTGTGTTCAAATGCTATCATCTTCATCATTTTTCTATTCAGAGTTAAAGATTCTGAAGTGGTATTGGACACTGGCCTGGGTTTAATCAACTAATTTACTCACTGGGCCTTTTTCATTTCTTAGTTATTGATCTTCACCATAACAGTAATTCACCCAACTCCTATCGTCTGCTGAAGATACTCCTACCTATTTTCAGATGTCTTTATTTCTTGATCTATGCTTGTATTATTTTATACCTGTTAGATATCATACCATTTATGAGCCTTCACGTAACAATATCCAGATAAATCCTTATATTCAATCACTTAGGTTAATCCTGTATATTGTGAAAATATGTGATTTTAATATTTGCTGATTCAATAGCTTGAACTTCTACATAAATAAACACTACAATACTAGAGAGATGCTACAACTGGAATGAACTTGTGATAGACATGTCTACTAAATGTTTCTTGCTGCATCCTATTTGTTTTTATTGAGCTTTTAATGCAATATTTATTTGTTTATTTATTAGGAATGGTTTTCTTTACCATTCGATGGTGGAATCCTGCAACCTTAGTAGCCATGCAACCAGAGGGAACGGGTGGAAGAGCTGCATGGCCGTGTATTGAAGATAAAACCTTTCTCTGGACATGGCTGTTTCTGGTTCCCTTAGCAGCTTACACGCTCTGGCAGGTTATGTATTTCCTCATTGTCAACGTCTTGCGCCGGCGACGGCTTTTAAGAGATCCTGAAGTCATGACTTCTTACAGGTAATTAATGAGTATTCCTACATTCCCATTATTTTGGAGGGGTATGTTGTTTTAGAGTGGCAAGTTAGATCATCTTTTGATATTTTTATTGACTTGACTGTTTCATAGAGAACTCTCCAATAAAGCACAGAAAGCAAACAACATGTGGTGGCGCTTAAGTGGCATACTTGGGGATCAAAATCGCTTGCTAATGTACATTGTTCTTCAAGGGATATTTACTGTGGCAACCACGGCACTCACTGTTCCCATATTCTTGTCATATGAGTTGTCTGTAGTTTTCCAAATACTGAAGGTTTCTGCAGCAGTATGGAATGGGGGGAGCTTTCTGTTAGATGTAATGCCTAGGCAGGTAATTCTCAAGGAGAAAAAGAAATCAGAGATGCAACCTGTTCAAATTCAAAAGGATCAGTGACAGATGACGATGTAAAATGATAGGAAGTTCAATAGTTCTGTTGAGTTCTCGACTCCTGATATGAATTAATTATCCTCTTAGTCACCATAATATTAATCTTACAAGAGACAAGCGAATTTAGTACAAATGTTGCTCAAGGGCTTGTTTGTGAATAAGCTCAAATTGATTTCCCCCGAAAGCTAGAAAAATCTATTACCATTCAACATGCATTATAAAGTGCGCCAGATGTATATTTAGCCATTGGTTTATCTAATTGAGTACAGGTAAACAAACATACAAACATGCTGCTAAAAATGTGAGCCATATTTTTGTCATCCCAGTACATTGTACTGAGCCTGCATAACTGTGTACACTGAGAATCTGCAGCACCATAACATGATACTTAGGAAGATAATCAAAGCAAAATATAATCTTAGAGGAAAGCTCCTTTGTTATTTCATTAAAGGTCTTTTTGGGTATTTGATGTAGCAACTGAGATGTAAATTGAATGGAAAGATTCAGGTGAAAAGATAAAAATGGAAAAATACAAGACGGTAAATGCATTCAGAGAGAGAGAGAGAGGTGAAAATTTTGAAGCGGTGGACAAAACTATAACAGAGGAAAACAGCTGTGTCAGTGTTTATGATGACATAATAAACACTGCCACGAAGCCTCCTTTCTCTTATGTTGCTGTCTTTTTCTCGCGTTTTAATTTTTACTGTTGATAAACTTACTCATACGTAGGGTTACTTTTCAGTTAAATTATAATTTTCTCATATCAATAACTCATGTAATAAAAATGGACAAAATTAATTGTTTAATTTTAAGATAACTTTCTAATTATAATTAAAAAAATATAGTATACAAAATATCTTAACGACTTTACTTGGGTAAACTTTTAAGTTTTGATTGATAAAACTTAAAGTGAAAAAATTTTAAAATAAATTGATTCAATAATTAAAGATTGAGTACAAAAAATATAAAAAATTAGATAAAAAATTGAAGAAGAAACCAGTTTTTATTTTAAAATAAAAAATTTTAGCTAAAAAATTAAAAAAAACTAAAATTATATATAATCCAAAGTATAAATTTCTTTGATTTGGAAAATGTTAATAACATGCTTTTAACATATTTTATTAACTCAATTTTATTTATTGATTAAAATTTATTAACAAAATAAAATTATGTTGTAAATTGTACTTTGAAATTAATTATTCAAACTCTTAATTTAATAATTTTTTATATATTTTTATAATTTTTAATAAATTTTAATTAATAACAAAAAGTTTGTTAAAAAATATATTCTTAACCTTCACATTCCTTTGAAATCTTTTGCGACACTTCGGTTTAAACCAGCTAGGTTGTACCTAAAACTACTAAAAAAAAAAAAAACTGAGCTGCTGGTGGCTGCGCTCATCGAAAAAGCATCATAAAACAAAAGATTTATGATGCTTTATGGAAGAACTTTTAAATATTTCTGAACAATGAAAATTTGGGTTCTGTTTGCATGAATTAGACACGTACACCTCTCATATTTGGCTGACCGAGAGATATGGAAAGCAAAGATTCTTAGTGGCAATGGTTCTCTTTAGGCCTAAAAAACTAGAGTACGTGCATGAAAATTGAAACCTTTCTTTCTTTGTTTTATGTAAGTCGCAAGGAAAAGTCACCATTGAAAATGTTCTTCAAAACACAAGTGACAAACTCTTCTTTGTAGAATCGAGCTGGCTAGTATAGATATATCCAGCACAAAATCACAACTACTATTCAACAAATACAACCTTGTTGCTCCCAAGACAAAGGAGCATTAGAGAGTGATTAAAAGAATAAGGTTAAAAATGAAAACAAAGGCTCAGTGCATATTATGAAAACATACAAACTGGCAAACCAAAGTTGGTACTCCCAATGAATCTACTAGAGGCTCCAATAGGACAACAAAAACAGAATCAGAGCCTCAGTTATCTTCCTATACAAATATGTTATACGTAAACTCTAATGCATCTTTAGGACCATAACAAAATGCCATGAATCGATCAAAGTATGTGAAGATAAAACGGAGCAAACCCAAACCATTATTTTTCTTCAGCAGGCTCTAATAACTGAACTGAAAAAACCATAATTAGAGCCAAATTTTGGTACTCTTTTTTACAAAGTGTAATGTAACCTCTCACAGCAACGAGGCGTTGCTTTTCTTCTTCAAGGAGTTGAGTTTTTCGAGCCTCCACTCTCCCCTAAGCCGAGCAATGAAAGTTGCAGCCTTAACATTCACATCGGGGCTGGGGCAGAAAACGGAACCACTTACGTCGCCGTTGTGCTCCGTAACGCTGTTAGTGACGGCGTCGGTGACCGTCGTTTCTGACACATCAATGTCCTCGCGTTCTGGCGAGTTACATCGCGAGCTCTGGTTGCTACGAATCTTAACGAAGTCCCCGCGAACTACGAACTTCATCGCCGAAATCTTAAACGGCGGAGGCGGCGGCGGAACGGGAATCAGAGGCGACTGGTTCCCCGCGTTTATTGTCTCGTCGTTAAAGTTGACGGTTTTATTCGGCAACGGTGGTCTCCCGGGGTTTCGTCGGCGGGGAGGTTCTGGGGGAGGAGGGATCTGGCTCCTCCGCTTTGACGGTGGAGGAGGCGGCGGCGGCGGCGGCGCTGACACAGAATGGATTTTCTTGTTCTTGCCTGGTCCCTTTCTGAATAAACTGTGAAAAACTGACGGCGGAGGCGGCGGAGGAGGTGGCGGTGGCGGCGTTGATGGTGGTACGGTCGTGTTATTTGTTAATTCATCGACGTTATCGTAATGGTAATTGTGATTGTGATTATTTTTTGTCCTCTGTTTCTTCTTTTTCTTTCTCTGATTGGAGAGTACTGACTCCCAAACCATTGCTATCTCCCTCTTCACGGAGCTCTTCCTACGCTCACTCTTCCCGTGTTTGTGCTCTGATCGTGCCTTCGCCGACGGTGGCGGTGTCGGAGGAGCCGGCGGCGGGGACCGGATCCTAGAGAACTCGCGATCATCAAGCTCGGAAGTTATCTCACGAGTTCGTTCAACTTTTCGATTCGTGGGTCTCGAATTATGACGAGCTGATTCCGAGGGAGGAGGTAGTGGTGGTGGCGGCGGCGGAGGAGGTGGTGGCGTAGGTGACTTCAACGGCGGCGGCGAAGGACGAATTTCGTATGTATCCACGGGAATTTCCTTAACATGTACTTCTGCTACTTGTTGTTGGGGTGATTCCGGCCACCGTTTACGGTGTTCCACGGCGGAGAAGTGGTCCCTGGACGGCGAGCGAAACTGCTTATCGATTTCGAAGTCATCATAGAAACGGAACTTGTAACGGTCATCACTGGTTTCCCACTGGCGCAGATCTGGGTAGGAGCTGCTGTTCCTTCTCAACCGGGTAACGCCGGTTGCCGGTGACTGGAAGCGGGAGGGAGGGGCATCGTACACCTTTCTCTCCTCAGGGAAGCCGAACCATTGTCCCTCTTCCAACGGCACTTTGCGAAACGCAGCGTTTCGATCCGGAACGGCGTGGTCGTGGTCATTATTGTTTGGGGATGGTTCGTCGTCGTTTCGTCTTGCGAAAACGCCGCACAGAATGGCAAAAACGACAAGGAGAATGTTCAGTGAGTCCCAGCTGTTTTTGACAGAGGCTGGTCGGAGGAGGCGGGTGGCGGCGGAGAGAAGCGGCGGCACGGCGAGGAAGAGGATCGTTAAGATTACGATAGGGAATAGAATGATGAGCAATGGAGGGCTGATGAAGGGTGGTGATGAGTGCCACGAGCGACGGTGGGTCATGGTTGGTGCTTTGTTATTTGGTATATCACTTTATCCCTTCTTCTTCTTCTTCTTCTCTGTTGGGGTGACCCTCAGAGGGTAATGGTTTCGTTGTCCTCTTTCTTTTTTTGGGATATTTGATAGATATATAGATAAAGCCATCCTTTAAGTCTATATTACTGGAATTATAACAACGTACCATGCTCTTTTATTCATACCACACCCAATATACTTGTAGTACCAGTTACTTCCCCTCCTCCATATTTTAAGTTTTTCAATCAGATTTCTTCAATCCATTTTTCATTGCATTATATTTTTTATAATATTTCCATTGCTTTATGTAAAAAGATATGCAGAGAATTGTCCACTCTATATTACATGTCGTGATATAGAATGCGTACGTGTTTAATGGATTTTTTTCACAACCTGCAGTAGATGAGGAAGTGTGATGTGATATTCCATAATATCTATACAATCACAATTAAAAGGTAGTTATTAAGCTAATATAAGTTTATTAACAAATTGGATTTCTTGAAAAGATATAAGAGAATATAATGTTGCTATAGAATAATTTTAGAAATTTATTATCATGTTACCCCATCATAATATTAATCTTAAATTATCAATGCAAATTATCAATGAGATTCCCATTGTGGTCGGCACTTGGACCCCAGCTTTTACAGTTAACTTTTATTTTCTTTTCTTTTCTACTCTTTCTAACTCGAACTTTTCAAGCGCTTGCTATAATTATGCATTGCACCTGCAATTGGATAATAATATGTTGGGTTGTGTTGATATAATATCAAATTAATATTGGACACAAGGGTATAATACTTCAATTTTTTGTTTTGCTGTTTACTATTTTATCAATTTTATCTGGTAATTCTTTTCGACTTGGTTCAAGCAAAAGATGTATATTGATCTCAGCAGTGAATGTATTAATGCTTTACTTTAAAATAAGAAGAACAGACTCTTCTATTACATTATTGCTATCTATATTTCTCCAAGTTTTGTAATATATTATTTGTACATTTTATTATAATACATATAAATATTATCTAGTGTCTCATTTATTATTATTATTCTTTCTTTCTGTGGCTAAAACTCTTACTTCAAACATCAGGCAAAATTAACCAGAATAAAAGGTTACAGAGGAGATTTAGAGAGGAAAGAGACATTAAAATAACATTGTAATGTATTACAATAAACATAGAGTTTTAACCCTTTTTTATATTAATCGTAAATTCTAACTATTTAAAAAATAAATAATAATAAAAGAAGGTAATATGATAACTAATATTTAGAGATAATGACAAAAAAAAAAAATCAATAGTAGATGATAATCTACTATATAATATGATTAAATATTTTTAGATGTTTTTATGTATTCTAATAGCTATTGTTTAAAATTCTATAAAAAAAAACATGTTAACAAATATATACTAATCTTAAAAACGGACTATGACAAACTTTTCGATCATAGCAACTTGTCGGCATGATTATGGAGATATCAAATGCATTCAATCAACAACATTAATTACGTATACAAGATTTTAAACAAAACGCCTTCGCTTGTTTTGATCTCAACCCAATTTTTATGTTTATTCTTCAATTTACGTTATCTTTATCGTCCAAATAAATTTACGCGTAATTAAAAAAAAGAAGAAAGAAGGAAAGGAAGAATGAATATATAAGCTATAGACAAACAAAAGAAAGCAAAAACAAAGCCTAATTTGCAACAATCTCTTATTTTGTCTCTTAAGTATGGTGTCTTCTTATCTATAGATGCTAGCTATGAACGCGCACTAATCAAATCAAAGTCCTTGTTCTCTCGTGTACATTTGTTTTTGTGTATTTTTTTCTTTTGAACAAGAGAGTTAGTGTCACGTGTCATACGACAAAGTACTATGAATTGGTACTCCTACATTGTTTTAGCTTACGTTGAATCATTGGAGCGTGGCTGCAATGATTGAAACTCACTTCCTTTACAACAAGAGACCGCTAAACCTGGCTTTTCGGGAGCGCACTTCGTCAAAAGGCCAAAACCCAAATGGGACTCTCTATTTTTCTTTCAAAATTTTACTATTTGACTAGTTGTTGCTCAAAGTGTTCCATATCTACCATAGACAAATCGATTCTCTCTATGAATTGTTCTAGGCTCTATTCTAAAGTCTAATCTCCCTTTATTTTCATCTAAAGTATGATTTAAACAAATTAATAGTAAACTTTAAGCTGTTTTTCATTCATATTTATTGCCCCTACCACATTTTGAACTTTTTATACCCTTTTCATTCTGGCTCAAACTCGTGATATTAACCTAGGCAAAAGGCAATGAAACAAAGTTAAACAAATAGAAAACACCCCATTTTCATATGGATGCATTTACTTTGCCACCAAAACAACCTTTTCTTTTCCTATCCGATTGAATGAGGAGTGATTGTAACAAATATACTATGTGTATATGCATAAAATAAATATGATTTTTATAAAAGATACAGCAACTTAATAATTGAATAAGAGATATGAACTGAATAATAAAATAATGCACGATTCTTGAGAAAAGGATATTTTAACTACCATTCCTTGATGGGAGAGAATAATATTATATATACATCTAAATAATAATAATAATAATAATAAAATCCCCGTTTCAACTTATTACAATTTATATCTCTAGATTTTTTTAATCAACATAGAGTAAAGTAGTTAGAGAAAGGTCGAGAGGTGGATAAAAGTTTGTAGTTCAGTTTGACAATTGGAAACATATTTTAATAAAAAAAATTATAACAATAATCAAGATTTTTATTGTGTTATTGATTAATGAATGTCGAATAAGAATATTATGAAACACAAATACAAAGTTAACTTACAGTGGCTTGATAAAGTCCTCATCCAGCGTGACAAATACTATTTCTCATAACAAATAGTACCCCACACCAAACAACAAGTGTTTTATTGCGAACCAAAAAGTTGAACTACAAGGCTTACCTACATGTTGGGTCCTAGAGGGCTCTCAACTCCTATTATATATATATATATATATATATATATATATCCTATTCCTATGGTTATTTTATATAAACTAGAAGACCATGGCCTAATCATATGCTACCACGGTAAACGACACCAACACTTGACCTTTAATAGATCAAACATTGTTTGGATGAATTGAGTACGTAACAAAAGAGGAGTGGAATTGGGATTAGTTTTGTGGTTCAATGAAATTAAAGCCTTGTGGCGGGGTATTATCTTTTTGAGGAGATATAATTTTTCAAAGAGATAGAGAGGGAGACAGGTTGGGAAGGGAAAGCTTAGCTACACCTAAAGGCAGAGAACCCACAAAGTGACCCCTCATGTATCTGCCAGTCCAAGCCTCTCCAACAGCTAGCTTCCATTGCACACAGCCTCCAAAAGCTACTTTACATTATTCATACATAGTTTTAGAAATTAGTTAATTTGATTATAGTTTATCATGAACATAGGTTTTAAAGCTGTGTTAGTAACTGGCAAGAATCTCAACCATCATGCACTCGTTAAGTAAAGAGTAGCTTAAATCTTTTTAGTTTAATTAAGATGCTAGTGAATGACCCATTGAACAAGGAATATGGATTTTTGACATCCCTTAGGACGAAATTCCATGATTAAGAAAAGATTAAAAATTATAACAGTGAATAATAAATATTATGTCATATCAAATAAGATTTAAATTATTATTAATATTAAACTAAAAAAATAGTTAATCCCTAAGTGTTTCTATTTAAGAATACGACTTAAAAATTTATTATTCAAAAATTAATATTCACTAATTATTTATAAAATATGATTATATCATATGACCTCTTTTATATCAAACATTTATTGATTTTGTAAGTAAATACTAAACTGAATTTCAGATTTCAATTTAATTTGAACGTTGAATTTTTTAATTTATTTCTTAATTTTAAAAATATTTTCTATTTAATTTAGTTGATTTAATATAATAAAATATTTTAAAAAATTTTAGAGATTATCAAATCCTACAAATTTTATAAAATATATCTTTTACTTTTTTATTCAAAATACTTTTTTCAACTTATTAATAGCCATGTCGTATGTGAAATTCTCATTATTATATCGGTACTTTAATGAAAAAAATATTAAATGATAATGTAATATTCATTAATAATATTGAATGTTAAAAGTGTATGAATTCAATGCAATATAATAACAAGTCTTATAAGACTTACTCTGCTCAATAATTCCATAATTAATATTAAACATTACTAATTAAACTATTGAATTAAAAGTTATTTTTAATAGAAAAATATAAAAAATAATTGATATATAATTCATCAGATAATTTTATTTTAACGCCTTGTAGTAAAGACTTGAAATCTTTTTCCAGCAAAAAAAAAAAAACCCTAAAATTTTAGGGTGTGGGGATGGAGCTCCAAGCAAAATAAGAAATGCTTGATATTCAAATTTATATATAAAAAAAAGTATTTATTTGTTTCCTAAAGTCAAGTGAAAACTTGAAAACATGTACACGTGTTCTTAAACAAAATACATTATAGCAAAATGAATAGCCCAATTATTCATGGAAATCTCAATGTCACAAAAAATAAACAACTTTCTGAGACATTTCTTTTGTGTACACTCAATACACAAATTTACAAAACAAAGCTACGATTTATCCATCCTTCTCTCAACTTGAGTATAACCTACATATATATATATATATATCCTTCAAGCTTCTTTTTTCTTCATATGTATGCACATGTTTCGGCTGTTTTTTCATTTTCATTTTCACTGCAGAAGTAGCATCAGAGGGACCACAATACAAGAATCGTTCTTATTATCAGTAATATTGTACTAAAATTAAATTCATTTATATACTTCTCTAAAACTTGAGGCTTTTTAAAAGCAAATTTAAAATTCAAATTAATTATTTGGTTTAGGTTCATGAATCAATATCGTCATATTTTCTAAAATACTTTTAGGCCAATTACACAAGTTAGTTGAAGCAAATATGAACAATTACTTATTAAAACCAAAACAACCTTCTCAACGGAGCACATATAATCATGCGAAAATGAATGAGTGTTGGCCATTTATAGTCATTTTATGCTTTTTAATACTCGTTCATTCTGATTTCAGTAAGGTAACCCAAAATTATCAAGAAATTTAATCTAATAACCATTGTGATGGAAGGTGACAGAAGGACAGACGCGGAACAAAAATAGCATTAATTCTTAGTTTGATTTGCATGCATGGAAACTTCCTGGTGATTATCTTTGGAAAGGAACGCCAAAAAAAAAAAAAAGATCCAGTAAATAGTTGGACAAAAATTATAGAAAACAAATAATAGATATTATTCATTAATCAAGATTTGTTTATCAGCACCATGTACAAATATCATTTCTCATAACAAAATTTTCCTTGAGCACTCTTGCAACATATTAGTTGTTCTTGCATGTTTGCAAGCATGAATCCACAACATAGGCTGCATGACCAGGAGCATCTGACACATAAAGACAATTATAAACAGTAAGTAAAAGCATAATTAACTTAATTACAAATACAAATACAAAAGATTAAGGAAAAATAAAAGTAAGTAAAAGTTTGAATACCAATGTCGTCATCGATCAACTTGGACAAGTCATTGCCAAGAATGCAATCATAGGCAACCTCAAAGGGAATGTGATGACATTTTGCCCCACATAAAACAACACATTTTAGATAACTCTTACGAAGTTTAGTTGCGCATGTTAGTGCACATTTGGCAACACATTCGGCTTTACCATGGCTGCCCGGTGGTGAAGATGGAGCTTCTGCATCAGCTTGTGTGAATGCCATCGTAATCATTATCATAATCACAATTCCAATGGCCTTCATTTCACTCTTTGCCATAACTCTTTCCCTTTCTCTCAATTTTATGGTTAAATGTTCAATTTTTCTGCTGCTGTTTCAAGTGCAATGAACAACCTCAATTTATAGGCTGAGAACAGTGCATCAAGCTCTTTTCTGCCACTCAAACTTATTGATTATTAGCAATCAATATCGATCTACCTACATTATTATACATATGAAGAATAATAGTATAAATGTTCATTTAGCATAATAAATTATTTATCAAAAGTAAATCAAGAACATAAAACAAATTTAGAAAAGAGGTATTATTTAATAATGGTTAATTTATAAAGTTAATATCTTTTGAAGAGTTATTTATTTTAAATAAATTATAATTAACGATAAAAAATTAATTGACATCAGACAACTTTATTTTAAGGTCTAACCTTTATTTTTTAAGATACAAATAAATATTGACTATATAATCTTATATTTACGAGTCTTTGATTTATGTAACTTTATTTTAATGCATTATCAACATGTTAATATAACATTATAGTATTTAAAGTTGTATTTATTAAATATAATAAATGATTACTTTAATTACAAATATTATACAAAATTTTAATGTTATAATATTTTCATCAATTGTAATATATTTATTGTTAAAATCAAAAGTGATTTTTACAAATTGAACACCTGCTATATGTACACAAAAATTTATTACCGTTTAGAATAATTTTTTTTTATAGATATATTGTAAATTTGAAAAGTCAAATTCATATGAATTTTATAAATATGAAACAAAAAATACATAATATTTTATCATGAATATTATTTAACTAATTCTATATTTTTTAAATATAAAATATAGTAAACTTTAAGAAAAATGTTACTGTATTTAATGTGAATAATTTAATTTAATCGGTTATTCATTAATTATAATAGAGTTGCTATTTGAATGAATTTTGACGTTAGAAAAATATATTATATATCAAGCAACTAAGTAGAGTAATTTTTACAGATTTAATTCCAAACACTATACATTAAAATTAATTTAATTATATACGCTCACATTAGTATTGAATGCTATATTTTTTTAATGCAATATATGACTAATTGAATGCAAATAATTATATTTAATACATATATAAGTAAAAATAAGTGACCATTTTTATTTAATATTGTACTTACTAAATAGAATATACTTTTGTATATTAAATGAGTCCCCATTCCTAAAATTGAGTGTTTTAGGGATCTACTAAACAAAAGCATTTGTAAGAGTTACTTTTTCTACGGATAAATATTTATTTTAGTTTCTCCTAATTATAAACATTAATTATTTTAGTTTCTGACTTTACAAATTTTTTTTATTAATCTCTAATTTTTAAAAATAAAATTCAATTTAGTTCTTTATATATGTTATAAAATGGCAAAAAAATTAATGGTGAAAAAAAATTGAATAAATAATTTTAATATATGAAAACCTAATTTTCCTTTAAAGTTAAAGACTAAATTTCAAATTTTATCTTCAAAGATTTATTTGTCTTCAAGAAAGGTTAGTAGTATTAATTATTAAATTTATATTAATTCATTAATTAATTAATGGGGTTTTTATAATTTATTAAATACATATATAATAAATATAACATAAAAATTAATAATAATAATTTATGCTTATTGAATTATTTTTTTATAATAATAATAATTTAATTAATTTATTTATGTTTATTTAATAATTATAATTAATCATGGATCATAATATAAATTAAAAATAAAAATAAAATCAAATTACCTCGTATCAGAATAGGTGACTGTTGAATAATCTGACAGGCAGTACAATCTAAGTGAGTTCCACCTCTACTACAAACGAAACTTACTAAAATTTTTGCATGTCATCGTTTTAAGATTGTGTCTACATTAAAGGTGAAACTTATTTTTTCTACATGCTAGATGCAAAACTTGTGTGCAGCTAAGAAGACTGTAAATTGTTTTAAAAATATTATTTTAATAATTTTTTTAAAAAATATTAAAAAATAAATAAGTCAAAATCTTAAGACAAAAGTATATTAGTTCTTAATTACTTCAATGTAAGACTATTATGTTATGTTAGTCAAATCCTAATTAGCTTAAGATTCCATTTTAATTGATGAAAACATATTAAAAGAAAACTTGATGAAAATTGATTGGTTTGTCAAAAATTCAAATAATCGTAAAAGCTTAATTCTTATTAATAAACAATATTTTAAGAGTGTGGTTGATTTTCATGTCCAAAAAAGTTATAAAACACTTAAAAATTAAAAAAAAAATTGAGGAAAAAATTTAGAAGAATCCAATCTAGCGCGATAATTAAGTCTTCATCAAACTATTTTCCAAAACCACTACCAATCTTGTGTTTAAACATCAAAATTAAATATATAATAAGTTATAAAATCACTCTCTCAGTTATTTTTATAAAAAACAAAAGACTAAAACATTAATACTAAAAAAAATAATTAAAATAATTATATTTTTTATAAATATAAATTTTATTTTAAATATCTCACAATATTAAATTGTATAATTGATGTAATCACTACTCAGTAAAAATATATTTAATAATAAAAAAAAGTATAAAAAAATTTAATAATTAATACATCTTAAATTTATCTTATATTTTTATAATTAAACATATTTCATTTTATTCTTTATAAAAAAAACGGAAGGAAGTATATTAGAAGCACAAATCAAGAGAATATAAAAGAAATTTGAAGAAGGGAAAAAATAAAATAAAAACTCAAGATTTCAATTCAATAACGAAAACAGGGGATATCAGATATGAGTTGTCATTCAAGTGAATTACTTTGGTATCTTCCAGTCACACTGATAAACGGGTTCTTATTGAAGATAACATTTTAGAAAAATGAGTAACCCAAGAATTCATGAAAGTCTCAATGTCAAAACAATACCGATAATATGATGATGTGAGTCTCAAAACAACTTACTTGACAGATTTATTGTGTTTACTTAACACAAAAATTTACAAAATAAGGCTAAGATTTATCCATGCTTCTCTCAAGTTGCGCACAACCTAGAGATATCTTGCCGATCTTACTCCACCAACAATCTTCAAGCTTCTTTTTTCTTCATATTTTATTATGTACTCGTTTAAATTATCTTTGAATTTTCATTTTCTTCGCAGAAGTAGCATCAGAGGGACCGTAACAGAAGAATAGCTCCTATGATCAGCAATGCTACTGTGCATACTAAAGCCTACAAGATCACCATGGCACTTAGTAAAGGAAAAAGCAAAGTGGATTATAATGATATTTCGTATCTACACTACACAAACCAACTTGGGTGATAAGTCTAAACAAGTGCAATCCACAACGACTAATGAAAGAGGTCTATAGCTTTTCCAACCTCACTCGCTTGTTCCAAGTTTAGAAATAGTATGTTTGATTGCTTAAAACAATCCAATTTGACATTTGATCATATTATAGTGCATAATATTGATGATGGCATATGCATCCATGAACGCACATGCTTACTTCAGACAAATAAATAAGAGGTTACCAAGAGTGTGTGTGGGAGAAACAGAAAGAGATGAATGAAAGAGAAATATTACAGCAATTGCTGAGGCTCCCAACCCTGCCCGTTCCCTAGGATCCTTCCGATAGTAATTTCCAAAATAGAGAAGTGTTGGATAGTACCACAAAGGTGGACATAGGAATCCAATAAGAAATCTGTAATTTAACAGACAAATCATAACAGAATAAGAAGAAATCAAGGAAGAGAGTAGATAAATTACTTACGAGAACCACCCAATTCCGCAGCCATAACATGGAAGGGGTTTGTCATAAAGTCCTGTTTGGAAGTCCTCTGGATCCCTAATTAGGGTATACTTTCCCTTTTCATGGTCTGTATCATCTGTTGTTTGACCTATAAAAATTGTCATCACATGTTTTGATTGAGTCAATCCTAGACATCATTAATGAATTTGTTATGTAATCATGGATTGGATCTTGTTCTTCAAGGAGAAGGAGCTGCTATGTCAAAAGTTTCTAGCATATGTTATGATAGAATTATAGAGCAAGTTCATTAAACTAACAGTGAGAAGAAAACCGGGTCCCAGGATTCAAGTCAAAGAACATAGGGTAAGATTATAAAGGGACTTGGTTAGCTAATACAATAAGCAGAAACAATGCCACTGAAAAATGAATGTAGAATGGTGAATGTTACCTTAAAAAATATACAATGAAAACTGTTCTTTAGGATAGAATGGTTGTAAAGGTAAATTGAGCAAGCAACTCAGTCAGAAAATAACTGCCAAGTCTGCTGGATATTGAACAATCACATGTACTAATATATAGTTTAGAAGAAGACTTAAATTTTGAAGCTATAGGCTTAATAATCCTTGCTTTCCCCTTTAATATAAGCATGCAAGCAAATAATAGATGAAAATTTGGGAACAAAGTAAAATTACTAGAAAACGGACACTAAGAACATGTTTGATTTCTATTTTAAAAACAGTTTTTTGTATTTAAAAATAAAATGTAATACAAAAAACTGTTTTTAAAATAAAAATCAAACGTACTCTTATTTTTGAATTTCAAGCATAGCAACATATCATTTTCATGAACAGTCATTACCTCTAAAAATTGAATAACTTCGTGTGAATGGTTTTAGAAGGTCAAGATGCTTATAAGAGACTGATGTTGCCAATTCCACACCATTCCTCATATCAACAGTCTCTTCGATGCCAGAATCTGTAATAAAATGAAATCACATTTCATGGTAACATGGAAGTATTTTAGTTGCATTGTTTCTTCTTGAGTTCCAGATACCCTATACATACATATGGTGAATGCTATTACATTCTCAAAGGGGAAAATCAACAAGCATATTAATCTTCCAAGTAAAGGCAACAGAGCTTTTTCCATTAAATTTAAAACCATTTTGTCCATGCTAATTTAACATAAGTTGATGTATGTGTATTATGCTCAATGACAGAATCACCATCCTTCCGTGCAAATTTGTTAGATAAAGGATTAATGACAAAAAGTTGGCTAGAAGGAACTGTTATATCATGAAACATTTACACTCTTTTTCTAACATGTCAACGATAATAATAACAATTTTATTCTAACTGCAGTATTAGAACCTAACCTAATTTCTCAAATTATCCAAACAAGGCGTCAAAGAAATTAGACCAGATATTTTCCAAAACTTAAATACCTCCAGCATATCAAGCTGTGCCTATATATTGTTTGAATAAAATCTCACGCTGGCTTATATGAGAAGGATCAATTGTGAACCAGATTAGTCAATACATGACACCACAGTCAGCATACTGGAAAGATAAGATAGATAACCAAGCTCCATTAAGCTGTTTCCTCATTATAATCTAATAGGCCTATCAATTGTATTTAGAGGAATTAGTTGCATTATAAGACTATAAAGAAAATTTTGACCTTTTAGTACCTTTATCCATGATTGTGGAGCGAGTTTACAGATTCAGCCCTTTAACTGTTCAGTCAAAATCCCTGTTTCACAGAATGTAACAACACCTTAGATAAAATCATTATTTGTGAGGCCAACATGTTTCCTTTCAGAAGCAGATAAAAGAAAAGAAAACATATCAATTGCAACATATGATACGCCAGTTTTTATTTTTGAAGTCTTTTTGAAGCACAAAAAATCTTCAAAATGCCTGCTTTATAGAATTCAAGTGACTGCATATCCACTCAAAACACACAAACACCACGTGGGAGCAAGTCTCCCAATATTTAATATATTAGTGGAAAATAGCTTTTTTTTATTGTTGTTACAAGAGGCAATATATATAAATGTCATTAAAGGAGTTCCAAATTTCTCAAGTACATTCATCTTTTCAATTGTTCAGATAATAGGGGAATTCTAGTATAAATTCTACTTCTCCTTCAGAATGCTTCAAGATTGCAGCACGTTTACAAAGAACCTTAGAACATTTGAACATGGCTCCCAGCAGAAGCAGCAAACTTTAAATTTTAAGGTTTAATATGAGATCAAAATTCAAACCATTTGAATCAACAAAACTATTACCCATCTTCAATTAAGAAACTGCTCATGCTTGTACTGCAACAGGATTCCAAAACAAAACCAAAGGTGGAAAACATCTATTTAAAGCTAGCCAGAACGATCTTCCAATTAAGAATTTCAGCTAATACAACCCATTGAAACTCTAATACAAAGACAAACCAAGTAGGACCATGACATAATAATAATAATAATAATAATAATAACAATAATAATAATAATAACTATCAAAAGAACTAAAATTTCGGAATCTCATGCAATTGTTAAGAAAAGAAAAAACAAAAGGCTTTTATACATCAGAAGATTTTCCAGAAGGCAAAATGGAATACCAATTAAAGAAGAGGAAACATAGAATTGAGCAAACATCAAAAATAGAGAAAAAATAAAGACTTGCCTTGGAAGGGCAACAAGAAGTTCCACTGATCAGAAGGAAGAAAGGAACAGAAAATAGTTTTAAAAAGGAGAACTGCTTTGTATTGGAGAAGGGTTCAAACATGATAAGCATCAGCAATTACCACTACCATATTTGTCTCTTGTACAAGCACATAACCAGTCTCAAAATAATCATTAAAACAACTCTGGAGAGAATTATAAGGTTTTGTGACATGAATAATTGTGGGATAAATTTAAATTTTAAAATAAATTTAACTTTTAAATTTATTATGATAAATTATATGCAATTTTTATTAAAATAAATTATAAATATTTAATAAAATTATAAATTAGTTTTATTTGTAAATGTTATAATGTATTTGATTTCTTTTTGTAGTTTTATTTTTTAAAATTGTAGATATTTTTATTTTATTTATTTAGGCAGCCTCTTCTTCTACATTTTCTCGCTTAATTTCCTAAATCTTAATGTGCGCGAAAATAATGAAAACTAGTTAATTGTAATTGACTTTTAAGCAAGGTTTGACTTGTTCTAAAACAGTGTCTGATTGGTCAATGGTTGGTGGTGAATCGATAGCTTCCTATTTTTTCTATGAATGATTTAATATTATAATAAATAACAAACACTTAAATAGTAAAAAGCACAAAAGGGTAATTGGCATTGCATTTGCATTTGGTGAAAAGACATCTTGGGAGTCTCAAAAGCCAACGTTTCTTTTGAAATATAATTATAATAACTAGTAATTAGCTATACAGGCAAACATTGAGTGCATAGCATTTGCTTTTTAATACAGAATCCCTTTTTTCTTAGCAAAATAGAACAGTGTGGATATTAGTCGGATCTCTAAACACCATACATACTGAAAACTATTTTATAATATGAAGACTATTTTTTCTTGTGTTTCTATTGATAGGGGAAAATAACTGGTTTGAAAGTAAATTCCATTTTTTTAAAAACAGATAATCATAATCTGACTTATAAGAAATCAAAGCAGGAGATAAAAGAATATGAAAAAGATACAACTATGTATTAAGAAAAATAAAACTTCCATACTTACAATTCATATTTCACAATTTCAGGAGATTTTAGAACAAAATCTAAGAATTTTATTGAAGATTTTACTATTATAATGTAGTCGGTGGATTAGGCAGAGCTCAACCTCCTTTGAAAATGAAAGAAACAAATATAATAGCAGGGTTACAGAAAGTGTTCTCAGTTTCTGCACTTTGACGTAAACGGAGTTTACCTTAAAATACTCACTTAGAATAGTCGATCCAAACCTCACGTTGTATAGTCTAGTATTTGATGTTTACATTTGATTTGTAATAAGATAATCATTCAAGAATATTTTTTTATTGGTAAAGTTAGTAATTTATTCCTTTAAGTTTGTTCTAGGTTTTAGTTTGATTCTCTAATTTTTTAGTTTAGTCTAATTTTTCATTTTGAGTTAAGTTTATCTTTTAATTATAACGTTAAATTCCATCATGAGTTTGTCAATGATTGCTGAAAGTTAAAAATTTAATTCTTTTGCATAAATTTGCTTGGGGCTATTATAGAACTTGAAAAAAAAGGGTTGAATCATGTCACGATGAAAAATTGGGTATATTTATCTACTGTTCTAAATCTAAGCTTATTAAAATTAAAAACTATTTCTTCATTTTGATTCATAAATGAATATCGTCATATTTCTTAAATGTTTTTGAGCAAATTACACCAGTCAAAGCATATAAACAAGTATTTAGACTATGTTTTCTAAATGTAATGTATGAAAATATAGATAAAAGAAAATATATCTAAAATAATTAAAATACGAAACATAAAAACTCATCTCTTACATAATCTCTTAAGTAATATGGTCCAATGTCTTAAATTTACAGTCTTAAAAAATGAAGAAACTTCTTAAAACAAATTATTAAAGAAATAAATACTTAATTATAATGATGTTAAACTTATAAATATTTAATAAAAAGATTATTTTAATCTTTCAAAATTATACATTTCTTGACATTAACCTTTTAAAACTTAGACTACTAAATTAACTTTTAATAAATTTTAATCATTATCTAACCACTAAATATTGAATTAAGTGATATATGTTGATTTGATTTGATTTTTAAATTTAAACTTTAAATATATATAAATATTTAAAAATTTTATTAGAAAATTATCCCACTCTAATATATTAGATTCTTAAAAATTAAATGGGTAATAAATTAAAGTTTTAAAAGATTAATTTGATAATAAAATATTTTATTGACTAATTTAATAATAATTTAAATTAAAAAATAATTTTGTGATATAAAACGCGAGAATACTTATGATATTGAAGAGACTAGGTTAAGAAAATAAAATAAAATTCATAAATTATAAAATTATAAAGATTACATGCTAATTTATTGAACCCCAAGATGAATGAGGAGCGTGTAATCCACTTGATAGTGGGGCTCTGTGGCTTGGAGGGCCCTATTGACGCCACGTTGGAGACCACTCTTCCCTCTGGAACCTTGACACGTTAGCTTCTTTCCACTCCTTTCTTCACCCTTCTTCCCCTTGTCGTCTTCTTTTTCAGCTTATAAATTCAGCGTTTGCGCTGCCAGAATGCGCGTCCCCTCACTCCCTCGGCTTTGTTTGTTGTGATTTTTGGCTAAGATGGGGGAAGAAGTGAGCGTTAACGTTTTCCGCAATCGGAACAGTGAAAGCGACGATCAGAACCTTGAATTGGATATTTACCCTTTGAGTAGTTATTACTTTGAATCCAAACTTCCCATTCCCTTCAAAGACCACTCCTTAGCCGATCGTGTTCTCAGGATGAAGTCCAAGTTCGTTTTTTTTCTCCCTCTTCTCTTTTATTTATTTATTTTCCATTTTTAATGTGGTTTTTCTCTTCTCTTAATTTATTTATATTCATTTTGTTTGTTAGTTATGCTGCCCGTGGAATTCGAACTTGTGTGGAAGCTGTCTTATTGGTTTGTTATTCCTTTAGCCATTTGCTTTTTGGATTATTATTATTATTATTATTATTATTTCATAATAATAACGTATGATTAGTTTCGTGTATAGGTTTGTCGGATCATAAGCCTTGCAATCTTTATAACGGGAAAAAGCTGTGTATTTACCTATATTTTGAAAACATATTATAGGCTAAGTAAAGCTGTTAATCAATTCGATGAGGAACCAATTAGTTTTTAAAAGGAAAATGCTAACAAGTTCGTTTAGGTCATTGTTGGTATAATATTTGTTTGACGAAATTTGAACAGCAGTATATTGCGAGTTTACACTGACAATCTAATTCATCATAATAACAATATGCAGCACCGATGTCATATATCAAATTTCCTTTGTCAATAGATTTGTCTATTAGTATGATGAATCTTACTATTAGCATAGACCCGATTCGAAATTCGTTTAGACAATAATAGACCAACAGGAACAAACCTTATCATTAAGTTTTTCTCTCCCATTAGCATGTAGCATTTTTTGTATTAATTGTTTTAAATAAAAAATTCTGTCTATATAATTTTTTATTAAAAAATATTGAAGGGGCAGGGAGGGGGAGGGTGTGTGGCTTGATTCCATCTGTTTGGAAGCAACAGATTTGGGGCAGAAAATGAGGTAAAGTGTAATCTTTATTGTTAAACTATCAATCTCTGAACCAGTATCAGTGAGATACACAGCAAATCAAGAACAATATGATACAGACGTATAACTCCCTCTGAGGATGTTATGTTTGAGAGACTTGCTCTCCATCCAATTCATACTCCAAGTCAAAACTGGACACTAATATTTCCCTCCTCGCAGTTATACCTTCTCTAAATAATTAACTCTTTCAATTAACTAACAAAGTGAAACAAGCTGCTTTTTAATTTGGGATTTGCTGACGTGCTGCTTTTGTAATTTGTATGTTTCACCTGTGCTTATATTTTGTATTTGTATTTGAAACCTAGTTGGTAAATATTTTTTTAGTGAATTTTATATTTGCTTGTATATTGTGCGCAATGAAGAAAGTCTTATTAGCAAGTGGCTAATGGTCACACACGTGCTCACACTCATACATTGTGTCCACTTGTCATCATTCTTTGTCTTCCCAATTAGATTGTGACTTGTGAGTGTTGCAAGAAAGATGCCCGGTGTTCTTTTGTGACCTGATCACTTGGGTTAAGCAATTAGTAATACATTTTGCAATATTTTGGGTTCTTTTCAGGATAGTCTTCTATTTCTTCTAGAGGTCTATTTTCTGTTCCAAACTTCCTTTTGCAAGTAAACATGTGATATTTCTTCTTGAAGACTGAGATTAGGGAGCGCATGGTTGACTGAACTTTTCTTGAAGTTTATATTCATCAAGTACATCTTAGTTATTGGGCATTTGATTTTGTTGCCGAAGTGCAAGATATTGTCAACCACCGTTGCACGAGTCAAAGTTTTGCAATATGACTCTGAAATGTTCTTGTATCAGGTGGAATTGTTCAAACATCCACATCTGTTGCTTTTGCAAGTAAGAAATTCCATTTACAAACTTCCTGGTGGTCGTTTAAGGCCAGATGAATCAGGTATCTGCGAAAACTTAAGCATTGAAATAGAAAGCTTTAGAAATATTTTGGTGATTTTTTGCTGAAGATTAATTTCTGAATTTCAAGATACTGATGGGTTGAGGCGTAAGCTTGTAAGGAAGCTTTCTGTTAATGAAAATGGGGATGGTTCAGAATGGGAGGTATTAAACTTGTCTTTTTTATTTTGTCATTGCAACCTTGCAATATATAGAACAGATGAACCGTAATTTACTTGGTTTAGGTGGGTGAATGCCTTGGAATGTGGTGGAGACCTGATTTTGAAGCATTACTGTATCCTTTCTTGCCACCTAACGTAAAACATCCGAAGGTACATAATTCCAACGGCTAGTTTATACAAGTTCTGACTGGAGATGTTGTAGTCTCATAGTCTTGCTTCATGGCGTAGGAGTGTACAAAACTCTTCCTTGTGAAGCTTCCTGTGAGTCGAAAGTTCGTTGTGCCAAAGAACATGAAGTTGTTAGCTGTCCCATTGTGCCAAATTCATGAAAATCACAAGGTATGAACTAGAGTATCCATCCTTTGGCAAGGAAAGCATCTAGGTTGTTAGATATCATTAAGCGGCTAAGCCTTCCCTTACAGTATTATTTGAAATGAGGACATGTGGCTGACCCGTTTATATATTTGAGTTCATTCACGTTTATAAATTAAAACAATAATTTAGGATGACACGGCTAAACTTATTATTCATGGATAATAATTCCTTTTTTATATTATTTTCTCGTGTGATTTTGGTTGACTTCACCTGACAGTACTGTTTTGTTTTCCTGAAAGTTGTGATGTGAGGACATTGAATGGTTATGGTCTGTCTCATCCAATATTTCCTATGGTATATATACTGGAGTTTTGAGTTGATGACTGGCATGACACCTTTACCGCTGCATTTTGCAGACATATGGGCCAATTATATCAGGGGTTCCACAGCTGCTGTCAAAATTCTCTTTCAACATGATGGAATCTTAATACCTGACTGTAACCTGTTTATCATCTAGAGTAAAGTGATCTCATTTGGCAGGCAGTCATAGTCTATGACTAAGGTTATGCCCCTTTGCACCTGCTCCTTATTTGGTGTCTGGACAGGGACTTGTATATATCATGGCTTTCTATACAAAAAAAAATTGATACTGTAATGTTGAAAACTATACATAGTATACAGGCATGTAAAGTGTGAAATTTTCTTCAGAGTAATGGACTTGTTTGGTTCTTTCATTTTCGCCTTTGTTTTCACTTGATATGATAACACAAAAACTTGCGTTGACACCAAATTACTAGCTTTTCTTCTAAAATTTCTTGTAAAACATAAGGGTAAGATCTTCATTAGGAACTGGGTGAGCAAGATAACAGCTAGTCCATCGGCAAGTAACTTGATACCATATATGTATTCAGTAAAATACTTTGTACTTTTGACACGGTTGGCTTGACGCAAGATCGTGACTCATTGATGTAGAATCTGTAGAACTTGCCAAGCAGCACATGAGATGGTATTTGGAATGCAAGGGTCCAGTTATGCTAGAATGTCATGCTTGAGCAGCAGATCTTGTCATTGCCGAGAGGAGGGTCTGGACTAGTTTTGACAGGTTTTGGAGGAACCACTGATGCTGCGAAGGAAGTAACGTTAGTATATTTGGCTGCCATGGAGGCTATTTTTGGATCGATCTTCTTAGAGCTGGACTGACAAGTCGCGAAGAGTTTTGTTGTATGATAAGTTTATATTTTAATATATTTTATGACTTATAATTTATATATATTTATATTAATTATGTTATTAATTATTGCAATTTAATTAGAAGTTTTTATTAGTGTATTATGGAGATATTATGAATAAAAATTAGATAATTTTAGTCTTTGACAGTGTTATGTAAAGTTGAGTTTGAATTTTGAATTTAAAATTTAAATTTAGATATGAAGATTTGGAACAATTTTGATTATGGATAAAATTGATTAGAAACTCAGGTTACAGCTTATATAAAGAGGTTTTATGTTTCACACTTGACACAATTCGATTTTTCTTTACACTTTTTTTCTTTTCTTAAATTTAACTAAATAAAGAGTCATTAGAGACCATTGGCAAGGATGATGAACTTTCCTTTAAAATTTAATTAGAACTTTACTTTAAGATAACGAGAACTCTTTTTATCTTTTACTTTTTTTAGTTTCTTTTGTTTGAGTTTTGTTTTGTGGTTATGAATTTATTTATCACGTTCTTCGTAGTTTATTTTGTTATAAATAAAGAAACTCATAGCTAAGGCTATGACGGATTTTATTACAAACTTTGTGTAATTTTTACTTTAATGTTGGTATTGATTTTCTTTTAGTGTTTGGTTTTTATTCTATTGGATTATAGTGTATATGTTAAGATTTGATTTCCCTTAACATTCTATAGTTAGTTGCATTGTAGATAATCGTATCACGTGTAATTAACGAAATTATAGGATGAAACGAGATAAGGAGTTAGGTTAATTATACTTAATTCTTTTCTTTTAGCCGTTATTAAATTAATAAACTCATAGGGTTGTCATGTTTTTTTGTCTCATTAAGGTATTTGTTTAAAGAAAAGAATATTGACATTGTATAATCATTGAGTGTTAATAAAATTAATTATGAGTGGTTAGCAAATATTTAGATACTAATATCAGGATTAAATTAATTAGAACATAAAGAAGTGTAGTAGGTAAATTTATAAGTCCTAGGCTCATCTCATCTGATCTCTCTTATACATTGTATTACTGTACTTTTAATTTATTGTTAACATTAAGTTTTATTTTTAGTCTATTATAATCATGTTACTTTTAAAAAATTGAATCAAACTATTCTTAATACTTAAAAATAATTTTTGTGGGACAATAATTTGAAAATTCTTTTCGAACAAATTTTATTACTCTTTGATGAGTATAATTATCTACAAATAATGTCTACAATAATTAAATATTTAGAATCTATTAAATTTACTGGTACTATTGGCATATGTTTTTACGGATGGATAATAATATATAACAATATTAATATTGAGTTAAAGAGTTTTGTCAGGAAAAAATTGCTGATTATGCAGTTTTGCCAAGTGAGGTTGTTTCATTTGATTTGCGGAAGATTTGACTTAGTTTTGTTATTGTTCTAATAAAATATTTACCTGAATCGTGATGTCGGTTTCTGACCCAGATTGAATCTCTTGCTGTTAACCTCTGGATCAAAGAAAAAGTAATAATGTTTTTATAGTAATTATTTATAACAACAAATGCTTTTCCCATGCTATAAGAGAATGAGTGTATGTGTAAAAAAACACACTCAAATGAAAAAGAATATGTGAATCATATTTAGAGGTTACTTCTTTTGTAGAGCGTGATCGTTATGGTTCCCGAAAGTTTAGATCTTTATAACACGGGAAGTGGGAAAGTGCGATTTTGTAATTTTGGGATCTTTTCACGTTACAGTCTCCAACAAAATCATTATACTCTTAACAAATTTCAAAAATGTGAACTCCACAGATAACCAGGCAAAAAAAAAAAGTATCTGTTAGTTGGAGGTTTGCTGTTCTTGAAAGTGAGGTTTATTGCTGAGTTATGGTGCGTGGGGCTGCATCAGATCAGAGGGGGATATAACATTGCTAGTGATATAATTGCGTGGGCACTTTTTGGACGCAGTTGCAAATTTGACCTCTGATTTGGCATTTATTTGTCCAAATTGCTTCATCATAAATTGATTGATAACAGTACAGATTGCTGCCCAACACAATCGTTGCTCATCCCTTGCATCATCAAAGGAAATACACAAAGAAAGTCATTAAGAGGCTCATTATCTGGATCAGAAGAAAGTCAAGTCAATCTTTGGACTAACAATTCAGACTCATACAATGCTTCCTTTTTCATATTTTTTTTTTCCAGCCACGTGCTTCTTTCTACTAATCTTCCAAAGCCTCTTTGGCATATTATATTTCCAATGTGTTTGGCAACACTTATTATTATTTAAAAAAAAAAAAAAGCTTTACACGCTTCATATTATATTTTTGTACCTTTTTCCTCGATGTTTTCCACGCCTAAAAAAAACACACTTCGTTATTACTGTTCATTATAACCCTTATCTTCCCAACTATTCTCTTGTGTGCAATGAAATTTGAAAGGAAAAATGTTAAGATCGAACACATTGCTTCAAGCATAAAAATGGTTTTAAGAATATATAAGAAATTGATGACCTTTTTAGAGATTTTATAAATGCAGAATATATATTTTTTATACAATTATAAAAAAAATATTTGTTATTTGAATATGTAGTTGCAGTTACATTTTTTTTCAAAGCTCCTTGAAATAGGTTTTTTAAAATAATCAAAATTTTAGTTTATTTCTACTTTGAAACTTTTTAAACAAATAAACTAAAAATATTTTTATAAGTATTTAAAAAAAAAACAACGTGTCTTTTCATGAGAAAAGGCTGAAATAAATAGACCCTAAATAATTTGTAAATGATTATTGACTGAATAACAATCAGATTGAAGGACATATGTGAACCACTTTTTACCTTCCCCTGTGGAGTTCAATAATAAAATCACTATATAACTTTTATGATGGAAATATTCATAATCATCTATTGGCCTAAGCTTTTGGCCATGGCTCATGAGACTCGATTTTAGCAATTAGTCATGCCCATGCCTAAAAGAAAATCAATTCAACTTTGAAAACTTGATATATAAGTTATTTTAATTAATAGATAAAGTTTTAATATGATAAGTAGATATGATCTATGTTTGTGTTCACAAGTCAGGAGAAAACTATAAAAGAAATGAATAACAAAAAGAAGAACTGGATGATTTTTCTTGAATTAAGAAAACCAACTAAAGCAGTATTGGCAGTGCATTAGCAGGTATTATCTATAGGAAAAAATGGCAATAAAAATTTTAAAGAAAATATTTATTTTACACATAACGTGTTATAATTTATTATTTTATTAATTTTTAGATATAAATTAAATGAAAGTCTCAAATTTAGTGTGTAAAAAAATCTTATATATATATAAATGATTTTCTTAATTTTCACATAAGTAAGTTTAAAAATTTTTACATTTGATTTAAATTTTTTATTTAATTTATATTTAACGGTTAATTAAATAATAAATTATAACTTATTAAATGAGAAGATCTTACCCATATATATATATATATATATATTATTAATAAATTTTTAATTAACAATTGTAATTTAACATTTATGTGTAGTTATATAAATAATTGTGAGTATGACTTATATTTTTTTCTCCTTTTGCAATTAAAAACTAAATTTTTTATTAAATATTGAGAAAAGCAATAAAGTATTGGTATTTTATTGATGAATTTGCATAACAATTTTTATTTGAGTAAAATACCAGTTTTGAAAAGATTAAAAGTCTGCGTCCTTTTTAGGGACAAAATTAAAGAACAGACTAAATAATCAATTATTTTTTTATTCTTAAGAACAAGTGATATTTATTTTTCAAAAACTAAGGTAAATTGATCTCAAATTTTTTAATGGGAAAATGACATTATTTTACTCCTAAATAGTATTTTGCTGTTGCACGTGAGAACAGAAGAAATAACTGAAGAAGAAAAAGACACGAGAGAGCGAAAGAGAGAGAGAGAGAGAGCACCAGACGCGGGTAAATGTCTGAAAAGTCAATGCAAAGTCACCACCTTCAAACTTGAATCCTTATTGTTCCTTTCTCAACTGCATCAAGGGTGACTCATCTTCTAACCAACCTTTTGCAAATAAAAATCTAGTACCATGATATATCCTTCAAAATACTATAAAAGCTTTTACTTCAACTCAAATAAATATTAGCACACACTATACTATATAATATAATCAGTTAGTTGCAGGAATATTTTCATTATATTAATACATAGTCTTTTTACTACATAGTTTTCTCTTGCTTACAAACCAGAGGTGGGATCACATAATCATGAAGAAAAGGTGCTTAAGCCCCAGTCTCAAACTCTCTGTTCCTGCATCTGATCAAGGTTATTTTGCCATGTTCCTGTGAGTTTCTCTTTTTGTGTGAATTAATTAATGTCCTTGTTTTGTGTATGGTTTTGGTTTGGCTAATTGGAATTGTGGTTGTGTGGTAGGTCTGAAAGTGGAACATTTAAGGCTGGGAACCTGCTAGTTAATAAGGATGGAGTTCAAATTGTCTCTGAGAATGAAGTGGAAGCTGTAACATATTTCACCCAACTTTTATCTTCTGTACTCGTTTATTTAAAATAAATAAATATATATATATATATATATATATATATTTATATTCAGTTATCTTGGTCAGTTTTTTCTCTTTTCGGATTTGATCTTTTGAAACTAATGAAATGCCTCCTGTGACAAGGAGTTCCTGAATTTTATATACTTAGACCAGTTTCAGGTTTCCAAACCAAAATAGAGTAGTATTGTTTCAAAGGGGAAAAAATACTTCTTTTTATAAGATTATTTGGTTGGGGGGGGGGGGGGGTGGGGGCGTAGCTTTGGTCAACCTTTTGGTTCACATATTGTTTATGGATTTAATTTCTGGTTTAGTTTCTTCTCTTACCTTTGTTTTGTCTATAAACGAATGGAGGATAAGCTCCAAGGTAATGGAGTAAAAGATTGTGTTCATATCAGGAGAGACCATCCACTTTACTAACTAGTAAATTGATTAACTTTTTAAGTTTTCTTAAATATATTTTTAGTGTTGACTTTTTGTGAGACCATATCACTAATAGGTCCAAAATTAAAAATTTGCAAAAATGTAGGGATCAAAATGAAAAAAAATCGAAAAGACTAAAACCAAAAAATCATTAAAAATATAAAAATTAAAAACATATTTAAACCTTTTAATTTCATTTCAATTCCATCATAGGAAATAAAAATGTTTTGGTGCTTTATAGACTCAACGAATTTGTTGTATAAATTCTTACGCTTACTTTTTATGGGGGTCAAAACATTTTCCAAAATAATGAATTACTAAGCCATGATCTACCTAAAAATAAATAAATGAACTAATTGTATATTTTCTTGAGTGATGATATATCCTACGCAACGTTATGATCTCAATCTTCTCCATGAATTTGTAGTTACAATCAGTTGTGGTTTCTGATACAATGATGCCATGGAGGTTTGAATCTTAGGACTTCCTGCATAGTAGTATTTTATTTGGTTTCTACTTATGAAAACAGATTACAAATTTACATGTCTCTGATAACTTTTTATTCGTTTGATATTTGTGTTATTTTCAGCAACCCCCAATCAGACCATTAGACAACCAGTTAAGTTTGGCAGATATTGATTCAATCAAAGTGATTGGAAAGGGAAATGGAGGGATAGTGCAATTGGTGCAACACAAATGGACTAATCAGTTTTTTGCATTGAAGGTATACTTGCTACATACATACCTTGCTTTGTGTTTGCATCTTCTGTTTATTTCTCTTTTCTGTTAATATTTTTTTTGCAGTAGCATGTTAACCTAAATCATAATTTTAAGGTGAAATCATTCTCATTCTCCATTGAATCCATTACGTTGAGCAATCAGGTATTTTCAAGCTAGTTTAGTTTTGCAAAATTTAAAATTCGTTTTCTCCATGTAATCAGTATAAGTCAAGGGAACATAAAATTTCGCAAAGTATTGATATTACTTCATTCTTGTATTGATAGCAATTTTATATGGAGTAGGCTTATTTCATTTAACTATTTAGTTTTGTTGCAGTTGGTTTCTTGTCCATTATGTCTGAACACCATCTTTTTGTTCATTCAACATTGGACCTTGTAATTTTCCTGAACATAAATAATTGAGATGTGGATCACTTTCTTGGGAACTTTTATATTTTAATCAGTTCAATGGGTCAAATTTAAGATTATGGTCAGAAGACTCGAAAAAAAAGACATTGATCTTGATTTTGATTTTAGTTCTTATATGTTAAAGATCCAAAAGGTATGGTACTTAAGTCTTACATTAAAAGTATAAGATTCTAATGTAAGATTTATAAGGCGTACTCTAACTACAATAGCTATTTTTTGTAGGATGGTTCTCCCAAGATTATTATCCCTACATTCTAAAATTTTAATTTTTGGCCTTTATAATTTCATTTTATTTATGTTTTAGTCCTTATAATTTTATGTTGTTTAAGTATTGTTCCTTGTAGCTTACAAGACATATAGATCTTGATGGTTTTTTCTTGAAAGATGCATGCAGTGGTATATTACTAGTAAGAGGTACCAAAAATGAAATGAAACCATGATAGCTGAAGTCCAAACTTCTGAAGTATAGGAACTTAAGCTACAGTTGGGATAAATCATAAAGATTAAAAGTATATTTAAGCTTAATTTTGTTTTGTCATTCATCATATACGTTTGCTAGTAATTAAAATTACATCAATCACGGGGTGACAAGTCCCTTATTGGTCCTTCCTTCTGGTTATAGTGTTTTCCAATTTCAATTTCTTTTATGTGCTTGTTTACTTCAACAAAATGATTTTTATGAGCTTAAAAGTCTTTTGCTTTTGTATCATTATCATAGACTTAATTTTGGATAAACTTCTCAACAAACAAGTATAAAATAAATAAAATAAAACTTCTCTGGTAAAATTAATATCAACTTACGCACACCAACTTTTAGAGAAAGTAGATGGAGACACATTTGAAAGAGTTGATATTCATAGGTTGATTTTAACATATGGCAAAAATTTGATTTATTTTACCTTGTTATATTTGTTTCCTACAAGTGCTTATCGAAAAGTGTATTCAAACCGGAGCACTAGACCTTAATCTGGTTTCTTGTACTTATAAAGTAGTTTCCTCTTATTATGTTCCCAATATATATCCAATCATGTATTCGCAGTATAAAGTGGTTTTCTAACTTATGATGTGCTTTCCACAATTTAGGAAATTCAAATGAATATTGAGGAGCCTATGCGCAGGCAGATAGCACAAGAGATAAAAATTAATCAATCAGCACAGTGTCCTTATATTGTTGTCTGCTACCAGTCGTTCTATCATAATGGTGTCATATCAATCATCTTAGAGTACATGGATGGAGGGTCCTTGGAAGATCTTCTGAACAAAGTTAAAACAATTCCAGAGCCATACATTGCTGCCATCTGCAAGCAGGTGAGGAACAAGAAATTGAACTTCACCCATGCACCTTTAATTCTTTTCTCTATGAACCAAATTAGACTCAATGCTTTTCATGTTTTAACTCTTACAATGTAGGTCCTGAAAGGATTAATCTATCTTCACCATCAAAAACATATTATCCACAGGGACTTAAAACCTTCTAATTTGCTCATAAATCATAGAGGGGAGGTTAAAATTACTGACTTTGGTGTAAGTGCAATAATGGATACTACATCTGGTCAAGCAAATAGTTTCATTGGCACATACAACTATATGTCTGTGAGTAAAACATGAGAATTTATTTATCTTTTTCCTATATCCAACGGCTAGATGTGTGTGCCAACATTACTTGGAAATCAACTTATTCACCATGCTCTTTTTGCAGCCAGAGAGAATCATTGGTAACCAAAATGGCTACAACTACAAAAGTGATATATGGAGCTTGGGACTGGTGTTGCTAAAGTGTGCTACAGGGAAGTTTCCATATATACCACCAGATCAAAGTGAAGGATGGGAAAATATGTTCCAGCTTATTGAAGCCATTGTGGAAAAACCTTCACCTTGTGCTCCTTCTGGTGAATTTTCTCCAGAATTTTGTTCATTTATCACAGCATGGTAAATATTAAGTATGCTTCATTAAATAAATCATTTAATCTCTAGAATCTTGGCCTCCCAAAAGAAAATGAAACATGACTCTCACTCTCACACACTCACTCTTCCTGAAATTATTGGGATACTTGAGAAACCTACAATTTGAAAGCTGAATGAGTGTGTAGCCAAAACTTATAAGCTATCTAAATTTGTGAAGCTTATATTCATATTTTATTTTAAGATATCTTGTATAGTACCTAATTGTGTGTGAAGCCATATGCTCATCTTCTATTTCAACATAACTTCTACAATTTCATGGAACGAACCTCCATCTGTAAGTGTGTTTAAACTAATCTAAAAAGTTGGCACCTTCAGTCACTATTCAATCGGTTTTTCTGTTATAAATTTTTTGTCACTGTTCATTTTATGAGGCTGTTGATCCTCATTTAACCACCTGTTTTTAGTTTACAGAAAAATCCAAGGGATAGACCATCGGCTCCGGACCTTATAGTATGCATAAACCTTATCTATACGAGTATGCAATGTAAAATAGATTAAGTAGTTTTTCTTACAGAGATTTAAATTTATCTCATTTAAATTTCAGAAGCACCCTTTTATCAACATGTATGAGGACTTGAATGTGGATCTTTCAGCTTATTTCTCCAACGAGGGATCTACACTTGCAATCATATAAAGCATGGTATGTTCCAATCCTGGACTTTATTAAGAGGTAAGCCCTGTATCACTTGGTATTCTTAAATGTAGATCACTATATAAGCTAACAATTTTGTTATCCTAAGCTCTTAAAGTTAAATTTAAGCATTTACAAGTAATAAATTTTCATTAGTAAATAAAATATAATTTATTACACATGTATCCCCAATGTGATAAATACTTCTTTTTCAATAAAAGTACCTACTTTTTATGCTTAAACTTAATTTTAAGGGCCAAGGATAGCAAAATCGTATAAATAAAATATGTTGATCCGTCACGAAACGTAGAATTATTGCCATGGTTTTGTTAGAGGAAATTGTAAACGCTACGGATGCTCTTGCTTTGGTGCTCAGAAATTATATGATCGATTTCTAATTTTCTAATAAAATGATCCTTTGTGTTGAATGCTTGTATTATGCTGTCTAATGAGATTGGATTATTCGTCTAAAGTCAACATCATACTTTTACAGATATTACCTAAACTACAAGTAATTGTGGGATATGATCTTTGCAACCTTCAAGTTCCCATACTAACATTCTGGCCTATCTGAGGCCCTCCTATATGAAATACAGAGAGTTCTGAACAGTGAGAGAGCTATGACACAATCAACTTGGAAAGTACTACTGTCACCTGATATGTTACTGCAGTTTGGATTCCTGTGTTTGTAGATTCACCATATGCCCGTGACCAGAATTTTCAGAATGGAGCCAAAGTGTTGAAAGTGTGCCAGCAACAGCTGCATATGTTGATGTTTTATTCAATTTTTTGAAATTTATGAAAATAAAGGATATTCTGTTTTGTATGTTTGATTCTAGCTCTATTTAAAGAGTAAATGAATGACAACTATGTATCTTCTGTAAGATATATCTGTTCTTCTTCTCTTAATAATTTTAAAACTACAAATTGGTATTAAGAGCCTTATCTTCAAAGGATATTTGAGTTGAGAGAAACACCAATGGAGAAAAACGCATACATAGTGGATTCACCGTCAATTTTTTATGGTGAGAAATATGAGTTATGAGCTGTAAGAATGATCTGTCATCTTGAAACATTGAATTTTTGGAAGGCAGTAGAAGAAGATTATGACGTTCCTGTATTGCCTGAAAATTCAAGGGTGACTCAAATGAAATATCATAAGAAGAGAAAGATAAAAAAAAAAAAAAAAGACAAAAAATTACCTTTTTTCTACTGTGTCAAAAATTATTTTTATAAGAATTATAAATTTTAAATCTGTCAAAGAGATTTGGAATTATCTCAAAAAATAATATTTTAGTTGTGAAAGAATCAAAAGTATACAAGTGCTCAACTTAGCTAGAGAATTCAAAATGTAGAGCATGAAAAAAACAGAAACAATTAAAACCATGCTGATTCATTGATGAATATATCAAATAAAGTGCAACTTCTCATTCGGATACATACGTGAATGTTTTATTCAGTTTTTTGAAATTTAATTTTTTGTTGCTTAGGATCTAGTCTTTAAGAGTTCTGATTCTGTTTTCATTAGATTAGAAATTGTTTTATTCATGTCTAAAAATAAAAGATATTCTGTTTTATATGTTTGACTCTAACTCTATTTAAAGAGCAAATGAATAACAACTATGTATCCTCCGTAAGATATATCTATTCTTCTTCTCTTAATAATTTTAAAACTACGCAAAGAAACAAGTTTTTATAATTATATGTATACCAAAGAATCTGTGTTTTGTAATTAAAATACAGTCATACAGCTAATAATACAAACTTTTAAAATAAATTTATGTCTGTTCATATGATAATAAAAAATATCATAATTCAATATTGGAAATTTTATATCATTATTCATTAAAAAATAATTAAATTTTTGAGGTGGGCAGCAGTCACAGTGATACCTCATCTTAAGCTGAGGTAACACTGCACACTACAAATTTTAGTATACATAACTTAGCCCTAGTGAAAAACTGAAGGGCTAATGAATATGATATGGGACTTCTCATTAGGTATTTCTAAAGAAAAAAATTAAAAGATAAAATTAATTAAAAATTTTCCATAAGTTAAAATTAACTTATAAACATCAATTTTTTTTAAAAATATTTTCATTTAACTTCTCTAAAATTTGATGTATATAAGTAATTCTAATTTATGAAAGAAATTAAATTAAATTAACCCTTTTATTTTCTTCTCCTATAAATACATGTTGAGAGGTTAATCTATATCCTATAAATATTCCATATGAAGGGTATCTAATTTACTCTTTTCTCTTAAATTTTCTTTGGGCCTTCTTCAAGTCTATAACAATGACAGAGATGTTATCTCTGCTTCCCCTTTGGAGGGCAAGTCTAGATAGAGACTCTGCAGCATAGTGAGCTGCAGGATCAACTCCATCATGGTATTGTTCTGTGGAAACATTGTTGGCATTTTTCTTATGCCAAAGAAGGATTCGCTTTCGAGCAATGTCACAGGCTTCTTCATTTGTCATGACATCCCATAAACCATCACTGGCTAGAATAAGGCACTCATCGTTTTTGTCTCGATGAACACACTTCACTTCTGGTTCTGCAATTATCCATGGCTTCAAGTACCTATCTCCTGTTGGTGGACATGAAGCAATTTATTACACTTCAGCAAAGGTTACTGGAATCTTGTCAACCAAAATTTGTTGATGGAGAAGAAGCAATTTTGCACTTTGGTAAAGATCACCACTATCTCGTGATCAACAAAAAAATGAAATGAAATTATGACTAGAATCTCAAATACTATATGAGGGTTTGTCTTAATTTGCTGAGAGGATAAATAAACCCATCCTAAGTAGACTCATGAAGCTATGACATTGTATTGAAAATTATATCAATTTTTTATGACTTTTTATAGACCAAATCACATTACTATACTTAAGATAAAGTTATATACTTTAGAAATAACTTAAACAAATTCATAATATAAACTATAAATATTAAAATAGGCACTTGGAATCGTTCCATAAAAGAAAGTAAGGATGGATGCCCTTCCCCTTCCCCTCTTTCTTTTTCTTAGTATAATTTTGTATGTAGAATTTAATTTGTTTAATTGAAAAAATAGGAAATTTTGTAATTTATTAATTAATATAAGTATATATGTTAATTTTTCTACGTTTTCTTTATAATTTGTGCTTTTGAAAAGAAAAACAATGAGAGGACTGCTAGAAAGACAATTTGACAAAAAAAATGTTTTATAAAAAAACTTTGAAAAAACAATGAGAAACTAAATAAGAAAATAATAAAATTATTGAGAAATATTATTGCTACTAATGCACATTGACATGTTTTATATAAGGGTCTATAAAGAGTTTGACCTTTTTAACTTACTAAAAGGTTCATTAACTTATTTAAAAAATTTATTATAAAGTAAATTTTTAAATAAGTTATATAAAAATTAAAAAAGCAAACGTTCATGAGATAAATATAGATCAGATTATAAATACCCTTTCCACCTTTATAAATTGGTAAGGTAAGCAATCTTTTAAAGTATCATTGTTTATCAGTGTGCTTTTGGATCCCAAAATCACGGATCCCGTGGAGAAATCTCTAAGAAGATTGCATTAATAACGAACAGAAAATAATGCTCTCTTCCCCCTCCATCAATTTGACTTTATCACAAAAAGCCATGACAATGATAGCTGAAAATTTTACGGCGGAAAAAATAAGCTAAAATGTATTTGCATCAAAAGAAAAAAAACGTTAGACCAGCAAAATTGGTATTATTTTTATGAAGAGCCAATGTTATAGGAAGAGACAAAATTTACAATGTCAATGCATTCTATGTCGTTTTGTGTAGAAAAAAATTTGACGTGGTATTGCAAAGTTTCATGAGCCATAATTGAGCATACATTTTTGTACTTGTATAATTTGGTGCTCAAAAACATTATAATAAACACATACCTATGGACCTTGACACTGCCAAAACACCTAGAACTCTGTAACCATTCCATTGTATGACCCTTCCTCCTGCAGCTTCTATCCTTTCCAACTCATCCTCTCTATTTGGCTGCAAAATAGGAAATAAATTTTCCTCTATCAAATAACTAACTAAATTGTATTTAAATATAATGATAGTTTGAATATTTTTTAGACTGTTATCTAAGCATGAATTGTCATATAATTGCAAATTATTAACTTTTATAATTATCACTTTAAAAAATTATATTTATCTCTAGTCAATTGATAATATAAAAAAATTTACATTGACAGTATATCAAAATTAAACTTGCAAATAAATAGAACAAATGCCTTACTTTGTGGTCATTAGACAATGGTAGTGCTTCTTTTCCACGACACAAGACTGCTCTTGAATCTCCACAATTTGCTACAGTTATGTGTGTTTGACTCAAAATGGCAACCACAGCAGTGGAGCCAGCAGTCTCAGGAGCAAGAGATTCAACACTTGCGCCGTTATCTGCACCAACTCCTCCAACCTCATCATCTACTTTATGAAAGCAATTGGAGAATGCTTTCTTCCATTGATCCTCCCAGTTGTCCCTCCCATTCTTTTCATCCAAACTTGGTTGTGCAGCTTCTATCTCATCAACCAACACTGAATGAAGATGTTCCCGGCAGTAATTGGCAACCTATGAAAACATCACCTTTTTAGTCAAATGGAATTGATCATCCTCAACATAACAAAGGGTGTGTCTATTAATACTCCAATATGTCTATTGCCACTCCTGTTTAAGTAATTTTTATAAAAAATACCCTTTTTTTCTTCATTGTTAATCAAATTAATAATAAGGAATTTAAATAAAAATTTAGTAAACTGGGCAATAGATATGTGAAAGTGGGAATAGACAATCCCAATAACAATTTAGAGAAGGATTTAATGGCATACCTGACAGCCCCCATGTCCATCATAGACACCAAAAAAGTGGGCTGGTGAGTATTTTGTGTTTTCACTCACATGGTAATCCATTACCAACCATGAAGGAACTTGAAAAAAGTGTGGCTTAATAGCAATAGCATCTTCCATCTCCTCTCTCCTTCCACAAACTGATGAGAAACCCCAAAATGGGGTAGTAGGAGTAGTAGGAGGAGGAGGAGTACCACTCAATTCCAAGCATGTTTGTTTCCCTGGCTTCTCATGAAAGGCAGCAAATGGTTTTGGATCACAGCCATCTGATCCACTTCCATCTTCACTCTCAAGTTCCATAGCAACAGAAGCCATGTTCTGCCTTGGCTCTAGCTTCAAAGTGGACGTATCATGGATGATGTTCATGTTTGGTGGCTTTACTTCATAACAATTAGTCCTCAAAATTGAAGATTCCTCCTTACAAGGACTACTTTTGTCACTTGTAGCAGATTGAGAGAGATGCATACACTGAAAATCCTTAGCAATCATGGGCTCATCTTCTTTTTTTGCCTTCTTTTGACTTTGAGTCACGAAACAGTTATTGTCTCCCTGACTAACCATTTCTGAGACAAGGTCAACACCAACCTGATTCACCTTTCCCTCTGTAGACACTGTAATTTGGGGTTGTGGACTAATATCTGTGTGATTTTCACTTTCAACAGAAAAAGATTGGCAACCCTCAGTTGCAGGATTTAATATTAAAGCTGATGCTGTATTTGCCATAAGCTTTAAACCAGTAATCTCCATGTGGGTCTTCACTGCTGATTCATTCTGGATCAAATTCCCTAGGGTGAATGGCACTGCAACCGTTGAAGTTATTTCCTCCATAGGTTTTAGTTTCCTTTGTAGAAAATAGCCTTATCCTCTAGAATCCTATAAATGCTAACCTCCCTCAAGTCTCAAGCTCAATAGGCATATAAACAACAAGACTCCTAAGGCAAGAAATTAGAAGGTCATAGAACCAATCTCTCAATAACTGTAACAAAACACATTTCAGACATCAAAATTTCAAAATCAAAGTTTATATTGGAATTTCAAACAGTGAAGCTATATTGTAAAATAGCCTTCTAGATCCTTTCTTATTTCACCTGTTTAGGACTCTTGTATATTTTTAATCCCAATCGGTGAACAGGACACAGGTGGTTTTCCAAAACCTTCTATTTCTCTACCCCCCACCAATCCTTTGAATAATTCCTGAAACAGAAGGCAATAGATGATTCAAGAAACCAAATCCAAATAATTGCCAAAATCAGTGCCTTGTCTCTCTCTACCAAACAGAGACAAGGGAAATGGGGTCATCAAAAAAAGAAAAAAAAAAAAAAGGAAAGAAGAAAACAAAGACAACAACAGATAGTACAAATTTGAAGAAATAGTTCCTTGAATCTGAGGGAACCAACATCTACCACTGAAATTTTCCTGGGTTTACACTTTCTGTTCCTTTCATGTGTCAACTACAACATGGCCACCCATCCTCATGTCAACTCCCACCTACTCAATGCCATTGTTATCAATAATAAATTAGCCCTAAATTTCTTTTCTAAGTGTATTGAGATTAATCTCTTGAAACAGCAAAAGCACATAGAGTAATTCAGAGTTGCTTACCTTCACAAAATGGATATAACTAAGAGTGATCAAAGGGAATAAAATGAGGGACATAAACATCAAATTGTAACACACTTTGACCTATTTGTATTTTCTTACTGAAAAATAGAACTCTTAGCATATGAAAACAAACCAATACCTATGAGATATGGTTGATTGCCTTTTTAACTTTAAGAAAAAAAAATCTTACACAAAATCTTTTCTTCACCAACCAAAAGTGAATGAGAAGAGAAAATGTAGCGAGCTTCACTTTTGTTCCCTTTGCTTAATGATGTAAATTGACACGTAGTGCTTTCGTTTCGTTTTTTAGTTGGTCGGTTAGGTTTGGTTACATCATTCCCTAACAAATATCTAAAAGGGTCTCTTTTCTTTAATATCAACGATGCCAATTCAAGAATTCAGACGTGAAAGTCATTCTAATCTCAATCTCTCATCTATTTGTATCTTTATCAAACGTGCTTTCATTTTACAATATTATTATTATAATTCAGATCAAGTTTGAACCAAAAACAGTACAACTTCTTTTGTGTATTTAAATGAGAAAAAGTATACACAAAAATGCTGAAGGCCAATAGAAGGATAGCACGTATGAGAGAAAGATGAGTACGAGGACATGTGCGTGAAGATCAAGAGAAGATCTCCAAGGCCGAGGGGAGATGTACCAAGGTGCCAAACCAAGGAATATAATGCTCCCTCTTTCGATTATTTTTATTTATTCAATTTTTAAGAAAACTATTGTTTTAATTGTCTCTTATTTTTTAGTGTTTAAAATAATATGTATATTTCATTGATTATATCCTTCTTTTAAAATGAATAATTGATTAATAAAAAGGTATAGAGATACAATATAAAATTAAATGATAATCTTATTAAATAAGAACACTAAAGTTATTATTTAATTCATATGCTAATCCCTATATGACACTTGCCCATTTGATAAAATTAGTTGAAATTTGTAACTTTACAGGTGGCTAATATAAGTTGTTGGATAAAACTAGCTGAAATGTTATAATATTATAATTAAATAAGGAAAGAGAAATTTAAAGTTTGTACCTATATATGATTTATTTAAAAAGATAAAAATAAAATAATTGATTGTTATAAGTTTTAAAGTAAATATTGCTTAAAAAAAAGTAAATATTGCTTCAATAAGTTTTTCATAAACTAAATTTTAGAAGTTATGAATTTCTTCTATTTTATAATTACTAAGCAGATCTATTAACTTATTTTTAAATGAAATATAAACTCGTGTTACCAAACATTCCTTATCTCTAATTGAGCTTCCAACTATAACTTTATCAATATAAGGGCGAAAATAAGAGAGGAAAAAATGTCTTCATTTACCTTTCACAAAATGTTAAATTTAGAGATAATAAATGAAACACTTTATCAGTTTATTTTTTAGTTATCAAAATTAGAGATCTAAAATGTCAACACTATATTCATCCTTGTAGAGCATTTAAGAGACTAATTGGATAAGACATTAAATTTTTAAAAAGCTAATTTAATAATGAATGTTAGAATTTTTTAGATTTGCTGGGCTTTCATTGATTGATGATTTTATTTGGATAAAACAGGTTGAATGATTACTTGACATTTGGATATAATTTTTTATGGTCCATTAGGAGTTTTGGAAAACACCATATATGTGTTATTGAGATAGATATTGTATAAGGCTAATGGGCCAAATCTACATGATGGATAGATATTAAGATATAGGTATTTATTGGAACCAAAACCAAATTAGTAAGATCATCACTTGTATCTACACATGCTCTGACTATTTATAATTTCATCGAAGTGAAAGCTGGGATAGAAGGAGAATGTGAGTGGAAGACTCTCTTCCTAGTGTATGCATTTGGGCATGTAATTTTAAGAAAGATCTTGTTTTTAAAAAAACGGCTACAAGAGAACTACACAATTTAATTTAATTTATTTTAAAAATTGAGAAATTTGAATTCTAATAAAGATCCAATTTAGTTTGATTAAAATAAAATCTTCAATTCTTTAGAGGACTAAAGTGATTATATTTGAGAGACTAATTCACCAACTAATTGTTTTAGGATACAAATGTGAACCGTGGTGGCGTATTAGACTTCTAGAGGAATAGCTTCTCCTCTATTAGTATAAGTAAAAATAAAACTTTATTTTGAACAAAGAATATCCTTTAGCTAACGTACAAAATGATTGCTTTTAACACAATTACAAAAAAATAATTAAAAAATTGATATACTTTCATTGAATAATGTTTTATAACCATTGGAACATTCTCCTTAAAGTCAGATAACAATCCAATATATATCGCATCTACCAATTGTCATGATTTAAACTCATTCAAATTTGAAAATCTATTTCTTGATTTATAAGTAGTACATATTCTCAATTAATATAAGAAGTACGAATTTGCATTCTAAAATAGACTTTAAAGTTGACGTCTAATACTATTTAAATATCAAAATATGATTCACTAAAAACATAAGTTTCTCATGTTTGTCACTAATACCATATTAACAATTTTTAAATATATATAAAAAAATACAACTATCACGTATGTTTGTCTAAATTAGCATTATGTAATACAAACTAAAAGTATATTAATCAATATAAAAATAATTTAATATTTTTTAACAATAATAACATTAAACTCTTAAATATAACAAATAAAAAATGCCAACTATTGGCTAAAAAGTTAAATTACAAATAATAAAAATAGTAAATTAATAATAAAAGTTAAAATATATAAAGAAATACAACAAGAATTATAATGAACATTTTATAAATAAATAATATTTAATGATTTATTTATGTAATACCTATTTTTATATTAAAAAAACCTTAAACATCAATATTTTGATCATTATTATTATAAAAAATAAAATTAAAGTCACAAACCAAATCTTTTCTAAAATATAATAAATTATTAAACCGTTAAAAATATTAATAACCTAAATAAAGGTAGAGTATTAAGAACACTATGAAGATTGGGTTTGCTGTGAAAAAAAAATTTGTGAATGTCATTTATATAGATTTTTGTAGCAAACGAAAAACTGAAACTACACATTTATCTACAAGATAAAAGATGAGGAGGTGTCGCATGGCAACATCCCAACCACAACACATGAACATACAGTATCACCCCTTGCAGTACAGGATACACACTACATACACAGCACGTGTTAAGCAGCGTACAGTGTGTATTATCCTTGTAGTGGAGGCTCTGTTCTTCTGTACCTTACTGCAGTTCAAACATCAATCAATTTATAAATTCTTGATCCCGTGATAGCGGAAATTATATTAAAAGAACGGTAAAAAAGAAATGGTATTACCCGTTCAAAAATCTGTTTAATGAAATCCAGAATGATGTGAAGCAGATCATAATTTTACTCTTATCAGGAAGCTTCATGCATTCAAATAAGCATATCTACGAAAAACCGTTAAAGCTCATAGCAAAGTTGGCAAACCCAAATGTGAAACCAGGAGGTATTTCACAAAGGCGATCCAAAATAAACGTAATTTGAACACCACCATAACCATTAAATAAAATCCAAAAACCAATCAACTTTTTCAGTGCATGCAAATTTATTGAATTTGAAGCAGATATCCACACAAAAATTGAAACAAATCAATGTTAAAACCACACATGAACAAAAAGACATTCAGTTTTGCATAAAGTGTCAATAAAAGAATCAAACAAAGCTTACCTCCTTAAGTAAAAGGAACAGCTCAGTTCAGTTTTGGAAATAAAATTCCTTTCCATATTCATTACTGAGAAAGGTGGATTGTATCAAGAACATTCGAGATACGTTTCCACAAGATGTCCTTGCCCTCTTCAGAGGTTCCTCAACGCCACCTGTTTTACAAGTAGATTATTATAAGGGGGGGAAAATCTTTGGAAATGCTGCCAATAAATCAAACATTAGATAGCCAGAGTGATGATAGATAGCCAGAATCTGTTTCATACATGTATATCATAAGCAGGACAGCAACTGGACAAAGAGAAAAGCAGTAATCATTATCTGATGAAACCACCAAATTGTCATATTTATGTCAGTTAAAGAATTTTCCTAAGAGCCTTATCAGGAAATCTGCCCGAACACCTGGATGAAGCAGAGTAAACAACTTGAGAAGTATCATGCTGAGGAACTGAACCTGCAAAACACAAGTGCCAAAATAAACTGCAGGGGAGGGGGTAAACAGAGTTGCCAGCCAGGTCATTTCAGCAAATGAGATCTGATTTTATTAATAATATTAAATGTATGTACAAAGGCCTTGTTCTCTGATTTGTATGAGCTACAACCAGGATACAGTGTTTGCTAACATATAATCACTTGGAATACTAACTTGTACCTAGAACAAAAAGATCTTTACAGTGGAAGTCACAAACTTCAAAACGAGAAAAATCCAAAACAGCTGGAAAGGTCACTCAAAAACAACTTGGAGAGGGGTGTCTACCAAAGAATCTATATAACCTATTTGGGGACAGAATTAGCCATAAAACCATCCTATGTAACTAGTCATTTCGTAAAGGTACTTTGTTTCCTTTGTCATTTGTATAATGAACAGTACTATACAAAGAAAGCAGTTTCAAACCATCATATTCAAGTCTGAAAGGTCGTCCATGGGAATTTCAAGGCCCATAAAGTCATGATCTTGCAATCCATCGTCATCAATATTCAACCATGAACCAAGATCCTGACCTTGGTCACCAAGGTCATCAGGACCACCAAGGACATCCATTCCAGGCAACTGCAAATTGGACAAATCAATAGGCTCATCCAATTCACCAAAGCCAAACTCATCCTTTTCCTTGGCATTGCTATTAGTAGACATTTCATTAGACTTAGAAACAGAAGGTACAGCTGGTTTAGGTTGCTCCGATAGCTTTCCAAGCAGACCATTTACAGAAACAGAATGATAAGTTGCTTTCTGCTTAGGCTTTGCTTTGGGTTTTCTTTCTCCCTTAACACTAGATAGTGCTGGCTTACCAATTTTGGTAGTTCCATTTCTGGATAGCACTTCTCTGCTCTGCCCTTTTCCATCTCTGTCTCTCTCACTCCTCTTTCCTTTCACACTATTAGATAGAGAACTTCCTATACCTGATGGAGCACCTGAACTAACAATAGTACCGCCAACATCATCAAGAGACAATTCCCTTTTCTTCACCCTGTTTGACCATAGATCTTCCTTTCCACTAGTTTGTTCAGATGAATGATTTATAACAGGAAGAATATCTGATAAATTGAGACCATGATTATTAATGTTCTGACTAAATTGTGAAGCGCTCTGCTGTGAACCCATTGAACCTGCAGATAGAAAAACATGACTAATTATCAAAATGCAGACTGTACTCAGGAGCAACGGAGGGTAAAACGAAAACTTGATATAACAGTTCAGATCAGATGAAGTAGAGATTCAAGTCATTTGTCCCCTTCCCATGCCCCCAATCCTCTACCCAATATAGGCAACTATAACAAAAATCACACCTCTTATAGTTGGCAGTATTTTATAGTGGAGACAGGATTGGGGACAAAGGATTCAAGTCCACACAGAAGATGGCATAAAGCCATCTGAGAATTTTGGCTAAATGCTCACACAAAACACAGCTAAATAAAAAAAAAGATTGGATTAGAATACTTATTCAAGAAGGAAATGAAGTTGATACCTGTTCTTGCTTCCAGAGTAAAGGAAGAAACTTTAGGTTTTGTGGATTCAGTCTCCATGCCATTTAATTGCTGAACAATACTTAGCTGGGAAGCAGCAGCAAAGAACATATCTTTGAACAAAGGCTCATTGAAGCAGGTCTTGCCTGTATCTTCAAATTGATGGCACCGTTCCAATGTTCGTTTAACAAATCCCAATGCTGCTTGCTTAGCCACTTTGTTGCTCGCATGCTTCCCACTTGATGGACTAGGACCCCAACAAGCCTGCCAATCAATTACTGTCAATTCACTCTGTCGTATAACTGTAACCTATTTAAAGAAGAGAACACTTCTGATGTAAGACACATAGACTAGAACAAGCTAACTCAAGTTTGCCAAAAAAATCTTTGCAAATTCCAAATAAAACCATTACAAGAGTAAGAGCCAAACGATTTGAAGTTTTAAATGAACTTGTTCACAACACTTTGGAGAAAAGAAATTCTCTTCAAGTAAAATTGGAACCTAACCATGTTCTTAAATCCATCAAAGCTAAAGATGATTCTGTTGAAGGAGAGTTAGTTGGGCCTTAATTATGTTAATTTGTTGAATGTAACTAGTTGTTATTTATACTAATTAGGTAAATTTTATGTTTTGTCTTTTCTTTTATCAAGCTCTGATTAATTAGGGTAATTAAACATATTTTATAATTTGTATTACCATTTTTTTATTATGTTATTTAAGGTAATTAGGCAGATCAACATCTTTCTAAGCTGACAGATAAATATCAAGTCTAATTGTATTCAAAGAAATAAACTTTGTCAGAGGTTATTTTTTCTCAAGTTTTTCTGAGAACTTCACCAAACTTATCAAGGATCCCTTCCTTTTAGCGTTTGTCTCTTATAGCTTGGGTGCTTGGTTATATATAAAGTATAAACAACGGGTCTAAGTTTTATAACTTCAAACTTGTCATAACTTTCTGGATTAAGTTCCAAATCCATTGTTGGGTTTCTATAACTTTGTGTCTCAAGGGTTCACATCAACTTTCTAATATGATATCATCTATTAAGCTAATGCAGTGTTCAACTTTTCTTCCTAGACAATTTAAATTACTTTATACAAGATAATAAGGCAGAGAAAGGAGTTTGAATGCTCCAATAAAAAGTAAACACAAACAAAAATAGGTCAAAGATGTCCCAACTCTGAAATAAAAAGGTAGAGTAAGACATGGTTGAGAGTTTCTATTTCCAGTTGTGAATTACAGGTTTTCATGTTGTTACCTACTTAGCACTCCATGCAAGTCTTATTAGGATATTAAGATCACAAACATTTATACATGTATGGATACATTCTAGCAGCCGTGTTAAGGCTACACACACAAAACAACACTTTTTGATGTAGGTCCTTTTCTACTTTCCTACTTATATTTAAATCTGGATATCAGAATTATAAACCATGTCCCTACTCTATCAATATTATCCATTAGTCTTGTATAAAGATCCCCATCCTTTTTTTATTATTGTAATAAAATTGTCATTAGAATGCAAAAATTTTATGTGAAAACTGAAAACCTGATTATATACAAAGGCAACATTGAACAATAAGGTTACCATGTATTTCTCATAAGCCATCACGACAAGTTTGTCAAGAGCACGTTGTTCAAAATCCCTGTTAATCAAAATATTGTATTTCCAGTCAGAACAGTCAGCCACAAAAGTTTAAAAGCATGAAAATAATCACAGAATAAATGATTGAGCATTTACTTTTCTTGAAGTTCTCTTGTCACTGAAGCAGAGTCCAATAACCCATCAAGCAAGCATTTCCTCTTGGACATCTAAATTTATAAGATAAAATAAAATAAAACGGTGAATTATATAAGATCCAAAACAACTTTATTAAGTTCTCAATTATATCTATAAATCAGATGTCTGGTTCTTAACCTGATTTGCATATTTACATAAACTTGGAAAGCAACATGTAAATATCTATTTTCTGAATAGCTACAACAAAGATAAAAAAAAAATATTGGGAAAAAACATTTAGATAATTAGCAGATACAACATTATAACTTGGCTTCAGCATCAGTTGGTACCTGTCCTTGGTAATGCTCCTCTAACCCAGTGATATCCACACAAATTCCTCCATCATCTGTTTGTGACATTTCGGGCTTGAAAAACAAAAGTAGAAACAGTAAGTATCACACAAATGACAAACCTACAGCAGATTTAACAATAACAGGATAGAACATCTTGAAGTAAATTCATTACGTCTATTGATGAGTAGACAGCAGAAGGAACTACAGAATAAACTAGAACAGAATAGTTAAATCAAATTTGATATTGATTCATAGTTCTTCAATAATGAAACTTCATGAAGAAGTGCACAAAAACTGTCAGGAAAGTAAGCTAACCACTGATTCTGGAGCAATTCCAATACTTTGAAGCTCCAAGATAAGCTTTTCATTCATATCCAAGGTATCATATTGCAACTCTGAACAGGTCCAGGTAGGCATGTTTTGGCTTGAATTCAACCCAGTTGATGGGATATCAACTATGTCACCTCCAGTCTCATCATATCCTGACTTCTTAGTTATCTCATAACCATTGTAAGTAGAATGACAAGCAAGATAAGAGATAGATCGAGAGTGGTGATCCAAACTGCTCAAATCCAACTCTCCATCTGCCTCACATTCAGTATCATACACATCAAACTTGATGTCTTCACTTTCACTGCTACACTCCTCTGAAATTAGGGCAGATATTAGCCTTTGACAGAGGGGAATTCTATTAGGGTCTCCATTAGCTAGTTGCCACTGTTCTGCTACAATTCCAGCACAGCTTTGAGCGCTGGGTCCATAATCCTCTTCACAGCAGGTCAACCCAATCCCATTAACAACAGCTTCACAATCATCTACATTTGAAGGAACTGGAGTTGGCATCAATCCACTCGATTCAAGATTTATCTGAAAGATGGATGAATTATTAAAGTTTGAATAATTTATTCCCGTGACAGGCATGTTTAAGAAATTCAGATCAAGTAAATCATGCTTTAATCATCAGTATTAATAAAAATACAATTTATACAACATTGGTTGGGAACTTTATATGACCTTAATAATATCTGTTCTGTTTATTCCTCATATCCTTTCTTTTATAACTTTATATATATATATATATATGTGTGTGTGTGGAAACATTTATAGTAAAAACAATAAATTCTAACTCCAGAATAATCAACCAAAAGATGCATCAAGGCACTATGGCTGCTGACACAAATCTGAAGCATTGTTAAACTATCATTCCTTAAATATGAAAGCACCATAACTTGAATGTGACAAGAGTCACTCAAAATCACCAGCAATGCAAAGATTACTACCTGTTGCTTCCAGTGAGCAATGTCCTCCTCGGTTATCAAACCAAAGAAAGAATCCATCTGCCTCCAGAATTGGCTGGAAAAAGCACGAGCTGCAGACATAAGAAAATACAGAACTCGATCAGATCAAAAACATGTAGGCTACACAGTTAGATAATATTTAATAAGATTCATACCGGAGTTGATAACACCCTTTACAGCAGCCAATAATTCTTCGTGTCCATCTTCTGACCCAGCTGAAACAATGAACCCAAAAGCAATAAATGATATACTTGTGTTACATACGAAAAAGTTGAGTTCAATACTCTTTACTAGAAGCTGAAACTAGTACCAAGAAAATCAGCTGATGCACTAATTGCTGTATGCTTTTGACGTGCATATGCCTTACGATCAGAAAGCTTCCTGGTTGGTGGCCGACCTGCCTTGCTGCATGGAACTCATAGAAACGTGAGATTTTAATCAGTGTGCCCAAACAACAGACCTAAGCAATAGATTTAGATAGAAGTATTTTAACCTTTCACTCTTGTCAAATCCTTGTCTTGAGCTTCTAAGTTGCTTTACTGTCCCAATATTTCCAAGCTTCTCAGATGTCATCGGCATCAGCGACCTTGTGGCAGGAAAATTGCGTCCTGTCCTCCCTTGCCTCCTAACACCATCTCTATGCTCTTCCCCAGAGACAAGTTTATTTTTTCTTGTTGAAAGGACCAAGTTAGAAACCTTTTGAACATTATGTCCAGTTTTCTGATCTATCTCTTCTGGTTTCCTGCCTTTCTCTTTAGGTTTTATCTCAGCCACCCCTGACTCTTCACTTTCAGATAAGGCAGCTGAAGATAAAGAATCACCTTTCAATTTGATTTGCTGGGGAGAATTGCCAGCCACACGTCTGGCAAATCCCAATCCAAGATCATTACCAGTCACATCAGAAGCAGAATCCAAAGCAGAGGATTCATCATTACTTGACACAATGTGCACAAAATTTGTTTTTCTGGCAGTACGGGAGCTCTTTTGTGGCCTCTGCCAATGGACAACAGGTGGGGAAGATGATCGTGCTGATGCTGCACGCTTGCGATTATTGGTGCTGACACCAGCAGGGGGCTTGGGCGTACAATGAGAGACCTCCCAATCATTAGGAACAGCTGCTCTATGGACAACTGGTGACAACTTGGGGGCAACTCCTGAACCTGATCGTGGTGCTCGAATAGAAGTATTCATTTTAGCATTTGAATTAGGACTGGCAGAATTAAATTCATCACGAACAGTTGCCCTGGGTACAGAACAATTGTAAGGATAAATTCAATTATCAATTACATAATACATTTTTTAACAAACAGCAGATTTATTGAGTCAAATAGAAGAATAGAAAGGAAAAGAAGAACAAGAAATCATCCCAAAAAAAGAGAGAAGAAATAGTAAACGACAAGGAATACTGAACATCAATGTAATAAAGCTAACCCCTATACAAAGACTACATGCTTTACATCATGCAAGTCAAACACCTAATCTTATCCTAACATACTTGGTTATCCCAAAATGCCTAAGTAATTATCAGTCATAGAATACATATCACAATGAAGAAGAAAGTTATGTATGAAAACAAACACAATTCATTAGGATCCATAACACAAATGGAGCAAATGAACAAACCCATCAACACAAAGAAATCAAGGAGCAAGCAACATGAAGAAAAAGAGGTCTCTAAGGATAAAAGAAATTTTATTTCTAAAACCAATAAATCATAATAAGAAGTAATAGGCTTTATAGTGTACTTACTTGTTAATGGCCCTGAAATTCACCTTTTCCTTGTCTGAATTAACAAGACGATCCCGCCTATCATTGACAGCAGAATTATTATCTACATCACTTCTAGGGGTAGAGACACGTATGCCCAACCCAGTTTGTTGAGAGACACCATCTGATTTTCCAGCTCCAACAGTTCCATTAGAAACCCCGGACCTAAACAGAAGATACATGATAATATTACTTAATAGCCTATACTGAAAAAGATAATCACCAGGAATAAATAAACAAAAAAAGAATCTTGTTACATGATATCTTCCATTGAATATCCTAGAAATCAGAGAGAATTTAGCAGAAACGCTCACAATATTCATGTTACATCAGCTACAGATGGGTTTGTAGCCTTTCACCATTTAACACTACACGTGGAGAATGAAATCCCAATGGCACTCTCATTTATTTTCTTTTCATTTCCGTTATTGCATTATAACCATAGAATTCAGAGATTCAACAAATTACTATTGATAGAACCAGAGTTATATCTATCCTAGCAAGTAATATGTGATTCTGATTTTGTCAAGAATTTTTCAAATTTGGCATCTTCTTATCTAGCATTAGATGTGTATAGCACCAGCAATAAATTGCAAATATGTAATAATGATACTTGAGAAACATGTAATTTAAATTTGACAAGTCCAAAATACAATGTATAATGTTAATTACAGTGAATGAGTAGAGGCACTGTTGTGCATTGTTATATTGAGTCTAAAAACATTTTGCAGTTCATTTTGATCCCTATATTAAAAATAAAAAATAAAAAAAGTTAGTCCCCAAACTCAACACAGCTTTTTGTTTTGGTCCTTTGATGAAAAAACAATTGTAACACTGTTATAACTTTGGCACATGACGAGGACCAAATTGTAAACATTTTTTCATGTAGGGACCAAAATATAAAGTTATTTTATGTAGGGACAAAAATAAAAAATGTGTCAAGTATAGGATTGGGGACCATATTTTTAATATAACTAAATCTATTTAATTTTTGTTACGTAAATTATAATCTAGACATGGATAATGAGGCAAAAAATTAATTTCTACATGAATAAATAAATGGAAAAAAAGTAATAAGCAGACATTCCCCTAACATGTATCCGTCTCACTACTTTCCTAAATCATCAAAGCTTCCACTTTTTTTGTGTTTTGCCTTTTCAGTTTCAGATATAAAGACCATGAATTCATTAATTAATCATTTTTCTAAGTAATAAATTATTACATGGAAGCAAGAGAGCAGATACAAGCTAATTATGTCTAAGACAGTATAAATGCATACAAATACATTCATACCTGAAAGAATGGGAATCATTATTCAATTTCAACCGAGCATCAGCAGATAGTCTATGTTGCATTCCTTGTTTAGTTTCCTGGAAAATGTTAACAGGTTTTGTCAATCCTGTATTGGGAGACCCATCTGGTTTGATGCCAGAACGCTTCTTCTTCATTTTTAACTTTTCCCAACCATCACCTCCAATCGGTAAAGTCCATTCCTCACCCTGAACTGTAGCATTATTGGCAATCCGTAACATTTCTTTATCTCTATCTACAGTCCCAGGTGGCCTGACAAGAGAATTAGTCCGCATGTCCCCCTAGAATTTATCAAACCCAAGTCAGTTCTGCCCAACAGATTTTAAAGCATACCAAGTTAATCTGAAATCAGACTCTCCCATATAAAGGGAAGTAAAAACGAAGTTGTAAAGGCACAACTCAACCACGACATACTCGTATGCTTCATTAGACCAGAAAAACTGCACAATACAACAGAATATTCTGCATTTTGAAAATTTTTATAGAATTAAAGAGACACACATACAAAACCTAGAGGTCATGAAAGCATACACAACTTACATACTAAACATACATAAACAAAAGAAGCATACCCTTGCATCAACCAAAGAAGTTCTAGTGCGCTTGTTTGGAACATTTTTGGTTCTTTCTTCCAATTTTTGCTGTTCATGATCGAACCCACCTGTGACAGAATGACCTTGAACTCCAACCTTACCTATGCTTTGCCCTAAGGCTGACCTATCACCTAATGTGAAACTAGAACGTTCATTAGGAAAAGTTTCAGCTCGGGATCTCTTCTTTGAAATTATATTTTGGAAATCTTTGTTGAATCTAGACAAGGCTTCACTGAACATTTTAGAACGTTCCCTGATGAATAATAAAATGTTATTGAACAGTGATAACTTCAATGCCAACAGCAAAAATACAAAGAACTACCTTGCCCTTCTATAATTTGCAAGTAAACCATCCCTGAGTCGTTTGATATCTTCTGGTACTGGGGAAGACAGTTGCTTGCCTTTCGCAGAACTCGATGGGGATTCATCAGGTGAAATTCCAAGAGCAGTACTGACATGTCGTTTATAATCTGTTTGACGATTAGACTTATGCTCTGGAACCTTTAGATCAAAACGCATACAATTGAAGAAGCTCACCACATCCCCTTGTGTTGCAGAAGAACTGCTTCGTGACATGTTTGGAAGAGAAGACAGAATTGGATTTTCCATGTTTTCACGAAAGCTACCTGATCTATCAATTGAAGAAGTTATGTGGGATCCACGCTGCCCAGTGTGTGATGGTCTGTCTGGGCTGGTAGAAGATATATCAAACTTGGTGGATGTTGCCATTGCACTAATTCCCACACATCTCTTGACTCAAATACCCAGAACAGAGACTGGTGCATGACAAAGATGTGGCTCTATACTGACTACAGCACATAAAGGGCAAATCTATATTACAAGGGAACAATTGAAAAATGTACCTGAAACGATCAAAATAATAACACAGAAAAATCAAACTTTATTGGCTGCAATGTAGAGATATTCATGTGCAAACTGAAATTCTTGGGTAACAAACCAGGATTCATGCTCAAAAGCACCCTAAATTTGTATATTGAACCAAGAGTTTGAAAAAAAAAATTTGCAAAAGCTACGGGATTTGCAACACAGCACATGAGAGTTTGAGTAATTAAGTCAATTCCATATCATTACCTAGTCCCAACTCTGTTAAGTCAAAGTAAAAAGGAATAATAACATATTTGACATGTATACTAAGTATTTCCATACACGACAAAAACAATTTTACAAAAATGCCAAATTGCAGAGAAAAGGAAATAAAAAAATATAAAGCTATCAGCACCAGTATTCATATAAAAAGCAGCTTAAAATGTACACTCATAAATATGCCAAAGAAAAAGGCTTTATGATCAAGTATTACCTTAGTACCATTTTCTTGAAAATCTCATGAAACAATTGGATAAAATGACACTGTATATCTCACTCCACTCTTCTCTACATAGACCCAGTCCTCATTCTTATATTGCAAATCCAAATCCATCAGCTCTCATACAGTGTATTTCAAACTTTAGTTGCCAGGACAAAATATCATTTTAATAAAATATGCCTTTAAGACTAATCATACAAAGACTTCATAGCACATGATCCCTCTTCCAAACAACTTGAACTATCTCTATTACAGTTTAATGAATAAATATTAGGGTACAATTTTCTTTTTTTAGGACAAAGAAAATTATCAGATGTAATATATTTATCTTCAGTCATAATGACAATTACTACCCTTTGACACCCATAGATATAATGTAGATAATTTTTAGACAATGGAGAATTGAATGAGGAAAACTTGATGTTATGACCTCCATAGAAGTGACCACTTGTAAGAAATTTTCCAATTTTATCTGAGTCAACAATGTGCTCTACTAACAAGCAAGTTCATCTCAACTTTCAAGCAAGTCACATGATTGTAACCAAATTCATATACAAAATATAAACAAGTTGTCTTATGCAAAACTTATTTACCGTACTTTACCAAGCCTAATTATCAGTTAAAGAAATGTAATTTAATAGACAACAATGCTCAATGTTGCATCTAGATGAAATCTACATTATTATGAGTTATGACAAACGCAATGACGATTTTGTCAACAACATACCATATGCAAACCAATTACAATAATTTACTGTCTCAACTTCAAAGAGTAATTGCTACAACAACTCACAGTCTTGGCTTCAAACGCCAATTACTTGACTAATCATCTGGATTCTGGACCTCAAACATCAATCTAGGCCTCATGAACTAGACTTCATCATCAATTTATGATATTCTTAACATAAACAGGTGGTAAATACACAGCTGAGACAACTACTATTTCTTTCAATTTGAAATAATCAAAAAATTCTAACAGTTACTTTAAAAGAAACCCCATCAAGACAATTGAGTTTACTCCAAGAAATTGTCAGGCAGTAACAACAGATGCACACCACTGTTTGCAAATTTTCCTTCCTACACTCACTCCAGTTTACTGCTCCTATCTTAACTTCCTCAATTTAATGCATTATCTACCAATTTACAGGGAATGGCCACACAGTATTAAAAAAAAATCCTGTACTCTCTAAACTCCAAGCATGCATTATGTCATTTTAGTACACAAAATATTTTAATAAAAATCCAATAATAATAATAATAAAATAAAATAGAAGATGTATCCGTCAACTACATAACTTCTATTACACAAGTTCTGTCTACTTCATGTATGCAGATACTCTCTCTCCTCTACTACCTCAATCTTAGTTCGTTCGAAAGCTCAATAAAAAAAATAAAATAAAAAAACAAAATTAGAAAGAAAACGCAGACAGAGAGGAGTAAGGACATGAAGAAACCCTAACGATTGAATCAATGCAAAAAGCTAAAAATTGAAATCACGACCCACCTGATAACGCGGAAAAGCATTACAAACTCCATAATCAAAACCCTAGAAGATGAACAAGAAATGAAGGAAACAACAGCAAACTGAAAAATAGCAATACATGTATATATATACCTCGAATCTTGCAATGGAGTTTGTTATTGGTTTTGGAATAGCTAAGAAAATTGGGAGAAGAATCGAAGGGTGTGTTAGAATTTGATATTGCTTTGAGCTCCAAATCCAAGTTCGTATGAAGCCATGGTGGACGAGGAAGCCCCCCCGGTGTTTTGATCGGCAATGAATTGTAATGACTCGATTTCACTTTTTTACCCACGGTTTTGTATTTTTAGGAATTTAAGATCAGCGTTTTGGCAGGGGTTTTTTTGTCAGTACACTGTTCGATACGGTATGACTGGCATCGAGTTTTATTGATTATGCTATCATCAATAATGTACTGTAAATACAGCCAAATTAATAATAATAATATTTACTGCATAATGTTTTTCTATTTTTTCAACATTTAAAATTATGAGTAACTAATATAACTTATTAAAATGTTACTTTTATAAAGTGTTACTATATTAAATTTCTTATTATATCTTTCGTCTATTATATCAATTATTATAAATTAATAAAGAAAATAAATATTTAAAATAATACACATTCATCAATCAAGCACCGGTTAATTATTAAACAAAATTAAATTCATCAAAAATTATTATTATTATTATTATTACAATAGAGAGAGAGAGAGAGAGAAACACAATCTACAATATCAATGTATTTTTCTTTAGCTGAGAAAAAATATGTACTTTTCTTTAGAAAACCACAAAATTGATGTCTACGAAATCAATGTCTACATCATTATTGCTTATGAATTTCTGTTCATCCCAATTTAAGTAATAGTATTACACTAAACATATTCGTTTAAATAAATAAAAAATAAAGTAAACTTGGTCTACTTTCATACATTTTTATATATTAATCACTCTTATGGTTATATTTTATTAAATATGAAATATATATTAGAGAGCTTAACTGACATTCTTGTTCTTTACCATTTTCCTTGTTCCTTAACTGACATTCCTATATTACATTAAATAGTACTAATATTTAGGTTTAGATGTGTTAAGGATCTTATATTTATATTTAATTAAAATATAATTTATAGTCACTTCATATGAAAGAGTATTAATATTTTAACATAATAGTAAAAAAGTATACTACATGGGGATGAAAAAGTTTACGTGAACATATATTAAATTATTAAAAAGAATATTGACACCACTTATGATTAAAAAATTAAAATAAAATATAATAATATTCAAATTAGAAGAATGTTTGCATCTCATGAAAATATATTAACATTTGAATTAAATAAATAAACATTTAATTATGTATCTTAGTCATACTTTAAAATAAAAAGTTTTTTTTATTTTCTTTAATCTAAATTAAATTAGCGATGGTTTATTTTTTATATATTTTAAAAAAATTAATTACTTATTTTCACAATACCTTTCAACTAAATTTTAATATACTCTTTGACCTATTTTGGTAAAAATAAATATTTTATGATTTTTTTTTAACTTTTAACGTACTTGATTATTTATTTTGAGTTTTTCTTTTTTTAACATCTCAATGAGAGAAAATGTGACCATCATATTTAACAAGGTTAGATTATGAATTTCTTACATAAATATGTGCAAAAAAGTTATTTCACATATAACACTTATTTTTTATACAAACAACTTTTTTAATGTGAGAAATTAACAAAATAAAGAAGAATTGTAAATGAACATGTAAATAACCTAGTGTTAGTTAAGACAATAAGATATAGTATAGAGAAACAATAATTTTATTGAACTAAAAGTTGATTCGTATTCAAATTTTTAATTATGAAATATTTTCTCTCTTCACTTTACATCTTGAAATGCACTGTACTTGTAAAGCAATGACATTTTTACATTTTTTCTTCCTGCCAAAATAGCTAAGAAGAGGAAATGTTCTCATTTTTTAAGGTATTCCAAACAACAGAGATATTCAGTGGAAACGACAGGGTGGAGCTTGTAGCTTATAGGATTAGAGCAAGCTAATCAAAAATAAAATTGTCTTGTCATGAGGTGTGATGAAAATCAATTGTCCTTTATTAAGAGGAGATCCTTCAAATAATATTCATTATAATAGTATGTGGGTGAAATTTAGAAACAACGTTCTAAATAAATAACAAAGCAAAATTAAAAGTAGATTCACAAATAATATTCCCTATTAAAGATTGATCTTTGAATTTAGTGAGCTAAAATCAATAAGATCAACATATTGAAGATGAAAGATATGTGTAGTTTAGAATTTGAAATAATTTATCTTTACTTTACTTAATGATTAAACTTGTGATAACTTAATTAAAGTAGGTTATGAGGAATTAACCTATCAATTTGTGTCTATCATACAATTATCTAGCCTTTTACGAATGTGAAATCCCACACCACCAATAAAATCTCCAATGCATGTTACTATATATTGAATGTGATTTAACAAATTCAATAACTAATAACACAAAAAGAACCCCACAACACTCCAATCAACTTCAAGTATTCATTAAAGTCTCCAATGGAAAGCTAATATATAAAAAAATTAACGTAAATTGAAATAAAGCAAGACCAAGAGAGCAGTGCACAAAATAAGTAAGACTTGCCTCCATAGCTGAACAAAATTAAGCTAAGTTCATAATTCTAATGGAGAAGGTGTAACTTAAACAAGTAACTTGAAAAATTAATTGCTTAATTTTTTAAAATATTTTATTATACTATCAATTCATCTGTAATAGAATCACTAGTCATGTGTTATCAAAGATTTATTCATAGTTATTAATTGCTTAAAAAATTATATTAAAATAATTAAATTATAACAATTTTTATCTAACTAATTAAAGTAAAATTTTATGAAAGAAGGGATTTGATGATATAATTTTTAGCATATCTAAAGAGAAGGGAACGCAATATACTATTAAATTTTTAAGTCTATTAAAGTTATTTGCTTGTCATATTTAGAGACTCAAGTATACTAGCTTATTTATCTATAAACTTAGGGTCCTTAACTTGTTTAATGCTAGTTTTTTAAGTTTATTTAAAGACTTTGCATTCAGTTAAGTTATAATTGGGACTAAATAATTTTAATAAAAATGATGAGTTATTTGAAGAAAGACTTTGCTTGATTTGAGTTAAAATTGAGTATAATTAATTTGAATAAAATTGATTCTGAAGTATTAAATATGATTGAAAAAGAAAAATAAATCAATTTAAATCACATGTGTTTTATTAAAATGTGTAAAAACTAAGATTGTAATTTTTAAAAGCAAACTCTTTATCGCTTCTAGGTTAAGCTAAACTTTAAAAAACTTAATAGAAAGTCAAGTTAAATCATTTAAAAAAAAAAGTTTAGGGAAGAGTGTTGTGAGTGGGTCTGAATTGCAAGACGAGGGAGACGACAACAATCTATCGTGCAACGATGGAATTTTTCTGCTGGGGTTGGAAGTGCAAATGGGATAATATTTGGGTCGTGTAACCTTGTGGGTTAAGTAAATTATATTTAATAGCACTTCATTCAAAGTTTATTTATAGAATTAGGAGGTGGAAGAGTTATTTTTAAAAATAAAAAAAAGGAACGAAAGAAAAAGCCCCTCACCCATTTCTCAACTCCTTCCATTCCACCTTTTTGTTTGGCAACGTTTTTCAAAGCCACAAAATTCCAAAATGAACAAAGACCTTTTTATCGTTAATAAAGAAAGCCCCGAACCAATCAACCTAACCGCGTAAAAACCCACGCTTCCCAAAACGCACATAATCATTGTTCTATGCTTCCAAATCCAAAGGCCAAAGTTATAGTCACCGTGAAAAAGCACCCCACACATCGCGTTCACACTTACACACACGCTTCCTCCTCCTATAAATACCCCAAACCCCCCATCTCCTTCCCTTCACACGCGAAATCTCCAGCGTTCACACTTGTCCACCCTAAACATATGGAACTTGGCACCGTACCCTTCTTCACCCAAGAAGACTATTCCCACTTCCATAACCTCTTTCAAGAAATGGACTCCAACAGCCTCAACAACAAGAAAAAGCGTAACAGAAAAGACGACGACAGCGGAGGGCAAAATGGTAATAACGATAACAATAATAGTAACGGTAACTTTAAGGACATACTTGCCTCGCTGATTCTGTTAGAAGAGGAAGAGAACCGAGAAGAACGAAACAGGGTCGTTGAATCAGAGCAACACCGCGCCATGTTCAATGCCAGCTACGACTACCAGGCCCAGGCCATGGACTCCATGGCCCAATTTCAAGCCCAATACGCCCAATTAGACGAGCTCGATCACAAGACATCCAAGAGGGCCCGTCGTTCCATTGCAGCAGCACCAGCTTCAGCTTCAGCTTTCGCTTTCGCTTCCGGTTCTGTTTCCAACGAGTCCGGTTCCGGTTCGGTTCAAACACGTTCAGAAGCGGTTCAGCAAAGGAGGCTATGGGTGAAGGACCGGTCCAAGGACTGGTGGGAGCGGATCAGCCGGCGAGACTTCCCGGAGGAGGAGTTCCGGCGATGGTTCCGAATGAGTAAAAGCACGTTCGACATGATCTGCGAAGAACTCGACCCGGCGGTGACGAAGAAGAACACGATGCTCCGCGACGCGATTCCGGTTCGCCAGCGCGTCGCGGTCTGTATATGGCGGCTCGCAACCGGCGACCCGCTCCGGCTAGTGTCGAAGAGGTTCGGCTTGGGGATATCAACGTGTCACAAGCTCGTGCTGGAGGTGTGCTCGGCGATACGCACCGTCTTGATGCCGAAGTTTCTCCAGTGGCCGAACGAGGAAAAGATGAAAGCAGTAAAGGAAGAGTTCGAGGGCATTTCGGGAATTCCAAATGTCGGGGGTTCAATGTACACGACACACGTGCCAATCATTGCGCCGAAAATAAGCGTGGCGGCGTATTTTAACAAGAGGCACACGGAGAGGAACCAGAGAACGAGTTACTCGATAACGGTTCAGGGAGTGGTGGATCCAAAAGGGGTTTTCACTGACGTGTGCATTGGATGGCCCGGTTCCATGGCCGATGATAAGGTCTTAGAAAACAGCGTTTTGTACGAAAGAGCAAATAGAGGGAATTTGAAGGACGTTTGGATTGTGGGGAACTCGGGTCACCCTCTTATGGATTGGGTTATGGTGCCGTACACTCACCAGAATCTGACGTGGACCCAACACGCGTTTAATGAAAAGATTGGGGACATTCAGAGCGTTGCCAAACAGGCCTTTGCTAAGTTGAAAGGGAGGTGGGGTTGTTTGCAGAAGAGAACGGAGGTTAAGCTTCTTGACTTGCCCGTTGTTCTTGGCGCCTGCTGCGTTTTGCATAATATCTGTGAGATGAGGAACGAAGAGATGGATCCTGATTGGATGTTTGAGCTTTTCGATGATGAGATGGTTCCTGAGAATGCCATACGCTCTGCCTCTTCTATGCAGGCTAGGGATCACATTGCTCACTATTTGTTACATCATGGCCGTGCTGGCACCCGATTTTTGTAGCTCTAGCTCCTTTATTCTTTTGGCTATGTCTTGTTATAGTCACAATTCATAATAAGATCCTTGCATTACACACAATTGATATCATCATGTGTGCATAGATAGAATCATAGATTGTATAGAGAATTTTTCACTCGCTCAATTAAGGGTGTTGCTAAACAATACTACTTCTGGAGCCTTAATATATCAATGCATACAATGTTTTTATTGATAATTAATTATGTGACTGTTGTATTCTTTGAAAAAAATATATATATATTTGTATTTGTTTACAGGTATTTCCGTGCGTGTTCTTCTTCTCTTCCTTGAGGGGTAAAAAGATGTATGTGTGTTTGATGCCACCGCGTTTCTTTTTATTTTTTTTTATTCCATGTTGACAAATGCTGCGCTGTGTCCCACAATGTCTTGCCCAAAAAGATTCGATTTGTGCTTTTGACTTTTGAAGTGAGCGTTGTTGGGACTAGGGAGGCCGTGTCTCGCCAATCCTGTCTCTTCTAATTGGTGCAAACTACCTCAATGAAATTCTAATCAAATTGATTTTTTTTTTCCTCTTGGAAAATTTCCCAAAATTCATATTTCTTGTTCCTTCTTTCGATCTTTATAAAAAATATAAAACTTTAATGTAATAAATACATTTTTATTAAAAAATTATTTATAAATACTTAAATTCAGCTTTAAAAGTTTATGTAAAAAAAAATAAAGAACGACATAATTTTTTGAGCAATTTTGCATTTGGATAATTTAGTCCTACTAGAAAGTTGGGCGGTTCTGCAGATTCTGCTTCATCCCTTGCCAACCTTTTTACACCAGAAGCCCATAGCTCTTTGAAGAAGTTGGAGGTTAGATGTGTCACCCACAACGAAATTTTAAACAGCTTCTTCAATTCTATATTTGGGAATTGGAAGATGACAAAAGTCACAAGACAATAAAGGAGGTACTGAGACATTGTACTTGGCACATTGCTTGTTACTAATTGGACGAAGTTGTTATCTGCCATGCTGCCAACTCAATAAAAACATGACAGGACATTACAAATGACACAATATAAGAATTGTTTTTCTTCATTACTGAGAAAACAAAACTCATTATTAATTCATCACCAAGATAATTTTCCTGCACCGTCCAAAATTCCAAATTAAGTCCTGTTTAAAAATAATAAAATATTATTTTGCCTAATTGACATCAGGTGCGAGATATTTATTGGTTAAAAATATCTTTGACGCCAAGTATTTTAATTAAAAGAGGAAAAAGAGAAATCAATGATGGAGGTTATGGAGAGAGGGATTAATGTTTATTTTTGATGGATGTTGTAGATGGAGATCATAGACCGTAGGATGATGGTTTCATTTGTCCCAACAAATGGTGAACACATGTGGGAGACCCAAACATAGAGAGGGACACATAGCTCTTTCTCTCTCCCTATGGTGTGAGTGTTTTTTAAGAGGGTCTCTTTCGGGTGGCTTGGCTTCCTTGTCACAATAGAACCACAGAGAATAGAGAATTCAGAAAGGAAGGGGGGTTTGGTTTTGGGCATGGATGATCATGAGAAGGAGGTGCATGTGAGAGAGGAGGATGAAGAGGTGGGTGAGGAAGAAGAGGATCAAGGAGTGGTGGGTTCCAGCTTGACCTTGGAGAGGGTGGCTGTGGCCAAACAATTCATTGAGAATCATTACAGGGCTCAGATGAAGCATATCCAAGAACGCAAGCAGAGGTAAACCACAAGCACTTTTATTCTCTGTGTTTTTTTTTTTTTTTAAATCTCTTGGTTTCTATGATCATTTCTATTTCATTGCATGTTGTGGAGGGCTTCTTAGGGCTTTCTATTTTGGCACTTTACTTATAATGGTGTTGGTTTTTGTTACTATGAGATGTGTACTCTCATTAACGTGTGTGTTGTGGAAGCTTTGGCTGTTTATAAAATCGTTACATCTTTTGGGTGTGATTAATAAATAACATAGATTACTTCTAAATGGGTACGTTGATAAAATTTGGCTTACGAGGAATCTTGCAGTTATTTTCCCTTGACGTTTTGTGTCAATGAGCTGCAGCAAAATGCAGCTTTTGTGGCAACTTTTTTTTTTATGAAAAATGCTAAACTCAGGGTGGATGGTAAGCAACTAAAAATAGCGTTTTTTTATTGAGGAAGAAAGTATTTATTATCTTGAGATGTAAAAGTGTAATAAATATTATATTTTTCATATTAAAAAATTATTACTTTTAGATGTTTAAAATCAGCTCTAAAAGTTGAAGTTAACAAAACAATTTTTGTATTTTATTTATCTAAAAAATCTAGAATGCGTTACTGAATACTTTGACGGGGATTCTCAAGCTGTCCCCTCTTCCCATCCTCTCTGGTGCCACAAAATGTTCATGTATCTATTGAGAAGGCATTAATTAGATTTGAGTTTCAGTGAATCATATGCTCATAATTTCTGAACAATGTTGCATGGATACGGGTACTGTACCGGTACCGGGTACGGATACAGGTACGAGATACAGCATTTTAAAAAAAATTAAGATACGGGTACGTCAATTAAAAAAATATATATAAAATAAAAGCACACAAATTTTAACATATCATATATTATATAACATAAAAAACGCATTTATTTGTCCACAAAGATAATAAAACATCTTACAATACAAATTACAATACTTAAATTGTTCAACATGACATGACAATACTAAAACATAATTAAGAAAATCAAACTTTAACAGTGTCAATCTTATTATTTCCTTTCCCATCATCAGTAAAAATAACTGTCTCTAGATCTGGTTCATCAAGAGAAAGGGTTGATTTTGGGCCTAAATAAAACCTAACAAACTTTTCTGGTTTTTTGCAAAAAAATTCTCATTTCCCGTACCCCATTAACGTACCACCCGTCCCCATTATTTTTTGTTTGCAAAAGTGTTTGGGTACGTACCGGGTACGTACCCAGCCGTATCCTATGCGTAGCCGTACCCAGTACGTACCTGGTACCGGTACGTTGCAAAAATTGGAGTACCCATGCTTCAGAGTTTCTGAATATAATCAATGTCGCCCATGCCTCCTGCTTAATTATGTCTATGGTGAACCTTTGGCAGTCTTAGTTTACAGACACATGCACTTTCCCTCAAACACATAAGGCATGCAATTTTTATGGCCTTTTGGCAGTCTCAATTCATTGACAGATAGACACACAAGTACATGCATGCACACAAAAAAATGATTTCAGTTATTACAGTATAGTACTTTTACAAGAAGCTTTATTTTTCATATAAGTTGTTTTTTTTTCTTACAATAGTAATGCATTCAATGAAGGGATTGCATTTAGTTGGTGATCTTGTTCTGCTTTTTATTTTTAAAAATATCTTGGCCAGCTACTGACATGATTTTATTATTTGCAGGCGTTCAGTGCTACAAAAGCTGTTAGCATCTTCTCAAGTACCAGAAGAGGAACAGATCAATCAATTGAAGGATTTAGAGCGCAAGGAAACTGAGTATATTCGATTAAAAAGACATAAAATATGTGTTGATGATTTCGACCTTCTAACTATTATAGGCAGGGGAGCCTTTGGGGAGGTAGAAATATATACATTCATATTAGATGATGAGTTCCTTTATTTTTGTGTTGACATTTAAACATGGTATTGAATGTCGGTTGGATAATTAAATGGTTTGGAATCTTAATAAAATAAAATACTTGCCACACAATCCTTGTTAAAAGAGCTAACCCTTTTATGGTTTTCCTTTGTTTATTTCTGAACAATCAATGTTACTAGAAATGTAACTTTTCTGATATTGGGTTACTTTTAGTATAGGGAACTGGCTGCATATCAAAAGTATCTGTGTAGCCCATTTTTAAATACCTGTATTTCATATATAGCAGTGTGTCAAATTACTCTTTAATTTTGACCTTGTTTGGGTTCCATTTTTTTGTAAATTCTCATAGATTAGAAAGTTATGATCTTTTTTATGATGTTTTCCTCTTCATGCTGTTTTGTTTTTCTTTTTCCTTTTTTTTTTCTATCCACAAAATGAAAACCTCTTTGTTTGGAAAACCAGAAAGGCATTGAGTTGATAGTTAACAAATGATGTTGACGGTGTACTGGTGGCAGCCGTGATTCCTAGAATCTTCTCTCAGCAAAAGCATAGGAATGTTATTGCAAAATTTTTTGTGCTATTCAAGTACTCGTTGTTAGTGGATGTGGTTGGGCTCAGAAAGACATTTATGGTAAAGTTCCAAGGAAAAAACAAGTGTCTTGACTTAAAGGGACGAGTTCCCCATCATGTGTTGGTTATCATCATCCGAATTGTGATAAAAATGCATTACGTGTTTGAGCACAATGATGGTCAAAGCCAAATGTGCACCAGTTAAGGTGCTCTCTATGGAAACAAGTGTAAAATTCTGTTGTTAATTGTAAAATGGTTGGTGTTGAGGCAGTAGTTTAATTGTTACTGGATTATGTCCTGAACTGAATGGAGAGGGATCCATTGTGGAAACTGTTAACACAGAAAAGTTAGAAATAATCCCCAAGGTTTGGAGAATGAATGCCTGAGTAGCAAAGTCACTGAGCTCTATTTTCATTGTTCAGAGAGAGCTTGCTAGATGACTAAATCAAATATAATGGACAAGAGAGAAAAATATGTGGCTGAAAAGAAAAAATAGTTTTATGGTTTCTCTACCTAGGTTAGTGATACCACGTTGAGAATGAAATAGATGATGGATAAACTCTATTATGTGCGAAAAGGAAATAAGTAAATGAGGAAAATACTCCTATACATATCTCCACGATATTAATAACATTGAAACACTCAATTATCCATCAGTGACTAATATTTATCTAAAAGATATGATGTGACTGAGGAGCTTAAATTTCTCAATTATCATTGAGAATCAATTACTTTTATTAGTTCAGAAAATCTTTTATGGAAATGATATCATGGTGTTAGAAAAAGAATGGACAAATAAATATGCATTTCAGCAAAGCTCTAGGATTAACTAGTTACATATACGAAATCATGGTTTGATTTGACCTTTGATTGTGCTTCGACAAATGATGTTTCTTGAAGTTCCTCTTCATTCCTAATTTTGTGCCATCCCATTATCATATTCATATCTTTCCCTTCTCTACTGGTGATTAAAGTTGATCTTTGGCTAAGTATATTGTGGGTTTTGGATTGACATATTACTTTTGTTTGTATACACGTCTACTGTAAAATTTCTTGAGTGTTTATGCCATATGATTTCACAGGTAAGACTCTGTCGGGAGAAGAAATCAGGCAATATATATGCCATGAAAAAGTTGAAAAAGTCTGAAATGCTCAGCAGGGGACAGGTGAATTTTCATTAATCAAGCCAAAGTTAGTTCTTTCCATTCTTCAATTTATTATTAGAAAAAAGGAAAAGTTCTTTCTGCTATTATTTTCTAAGTTTCATCATCTGACCTAAACATTTTTATTTCATTGGATTCATTCCATCACAGGTTGAGCATGTTAGAGCTGAAAGGAATGTACTTGCAGAAGTTGCTTGTGACTGTATTGTGAAGCTCTATTACTCTTTTCAGGATGCTGAGCACTTATATCTCATTATGGAATATTTACCTGGTGGTGATATAATGACTTTGTTGATGAGGGAAGAAACTTTGACTGAAATTGTTGCTAGATTCTACATTGCTCAAAGTGTTTTGGCCATAGAGTGTATTCATGAACATAACTACATTCATCGGTTGGTATTGTTGCATCTTAAACTACGTTATGGTCTTATTCTTATAAACCAAAATTTGCGTTCTTAAGTTTCTTCCTGTTTCTCCCAGAGATATAAAACCCGACAACCTTCTTTTGGACAAAAATGGTCACATGAAGCTGTCTGATTTTGGTCTTTGCAAGCCACTTGACTGCTCGAATCTATCATCTATTAATGAAAATGAAATCCTGGATGATGAAAACTTGAATGATACCATGGACGTTGATGGAACCTCAAATGGCAGAAATGGTAGGCGCTGGAAAAGTCCATTTGAACAACTTCAACATTGGCAAATAAACAGGAGGAAGTTGGTAATTGCCTTCTGTCCACAGCCACAAGTAGTATTTATTGATTTCCTGGTTTTTATTTCTGGTTTATTACAAATTCATTATGGCAATATGCAATTGATCTAAAATGAACAATGGTAGTATATTTAACTTAGAGGCACTTAAACATGTGCCATCTGTTGCATGAGCAATCTAACCCCATGGTAGCACCATTCTTGGACATTTTAGTTAACATGCAGTCCTTGCAGAGTGATGGATCAATGTAAAGAATGATAGATTTGTAATTGTTTATTTTGCACTCAGATATTGCACTTAATAGTAAAATTCTTAGTTCCCGACTTCATAAAATACTCCTGTTTCTTTCCTTATTCATTAACATACTGCTTAGTGGACTTGTTTGGTATTTGTTAATTGTCCCATTAGTGCATGCAATGATGATTACGATTGCATTTACTATGTTGAACATGTTTTTATTTTCTTGCATGAATATCCTTCTCCAGCTTATCTATTTGCTTTATGGCAGGCATTTTCCACTGTTGGAACACCAGACTACATTGCTCCTGAAGTGTTACTGAAAAAGGGTTATGGTGTGGAGTGTGACTGGTTTGTTGATATTCTTTTCTTATTTGCTGTTTGCATGAGTTGCATCCATCCATTTTTCTGTTTTAGTAGTTTTTTCATTTTGAAGTGTTACTTTGCCATACCTTTTTATCTTAGTGGTAACTTTCTTAAAGGAGTTGAAGCATCATAAACCTGAACTTGGAATTATCCGTTTGGAAAGATTTGGAGAACTGGATAGGAATCTTTTAAAATCGTCCATCTGTAACTTCATATTTTATCCAATGAATTGTTCATATTCATTCAAAGGAAACTTTATATTGGCATATAAATCGAGCTATGGAAACACTTCTTGCAGTTGACTCTTTAAATCTTACATAACAGAGGTGATGCTCTCAGATCCTACTAGTCTTATAATGTTAACTAACAAGTTCTGTAATTGGATCTTAGTGCAGATATAAAAAGGATAATCATTTGAATGCAGAGGCTGACTTGCTATCTCTAATATAAATGTTCTTCCAGTTTATATGATTCTTTTCAGGAATTAAATTCTGTTTAATGCAAAGAAGGAAGAAATATTTGGATAATTAGACAAATAACAATTAGCAGAGGATAAAGATTCTCTACTACATGAATTGGATTCTGATGCTGAAAAAAGAAATAAAGGACTTTGATTCCTTAGTTGTTCTTACATGTCTGATTGATCAGAAAATTTTATTCAAGACTGGATTCTCTTGATTTGAATAACATTACATAGCTCCAGTGTTCAAATTTATTAATCAATCGTGCCTTCTTTTCATTTTCATAATTATTATACTAGGCCTAGAATGTGCTTGTCTGAATTTTCTGCTGTGTTTCAAGGGAAGCATTGTGTATTCTATTTCAGTATTCATAAAAATGTTGTATTGGTTCTTAGCATAGACTACTATATTATTCTTTATGGTTGCTTGTACCTGAGTAAAAAAAGATATTTGTGTCGAGAATAATATCCTTTCTGAATGAAATCTTCCTTGTTTCTGACATGAATTCTACTTGCTGCAGGTGGTCTCTTGGTGCTATAATGTATGAGATGCTTGTTGGTTATCCTCCATTTTACTCTGATGATCCCGTAACAACATGCAGAAAGGTTTCTCGTTTCCCCCCTTCATCCTCCCTCCTTTACTTAAACCCTTCCTTTGGGGCCTGTGAATATTCGTTTTATAGACACTTATTCCCAGGACCCTTGACCATACCATGAATTTCATAAGGGTCCAACCAATAGCAGCTTTGTGGGATTCAATTTGACTATCAATAATTTAAATCTAGTGCCCTCTATATTTTGTGATTCATGAGATAAGTATAAAATTGTTCATTACAGAACTGGATATTTTTCTTGCAAAAAAAAATAAGATGGTAATTTTGATATACTGAATAACTGATTCTTGGGTAGTGATTACTTTAATTAAAGTTGCTTTTTGGGGGATTCAATTCTCCCCACCATCGTAAATGCTTAATATCCAGATAATCATAACATGCCATTAGATCCCTTGTTTTTGGAGAAGTTCGACATTCATAGACTTCGCTGAATCAAAGATGCATGATCTTAAAATGAATTGAACTCTGAGAAAACTGCATATATGTAAAGAGCATGTTTCTCTTGTATAGTTTTTATTTCCTTTGTATTGTGTGATATAGTTGTTGAGCATTTCTATGCACTTCTATAATTATAATCAAAGCATAAACTCTACTAAGGGTACTTTGTCTTTCTAATGCTTTATTTTGGGACATAGTGTGATTCATTCTTAAGTTAAGTTCATTCATTCATTCTATTATCTTACTAGAATCTTCTTGCTTAAATTTTTGGCTCTTGCATTTTCTCTTCTGGTTATTTTGCCAGTCTCCTTGTTCTCACTATATTTTGTCATAGTATTTATTAGTATCTATTTAATGCCTTATTTTTTTTCAGAAACACTAACCATGACAGTTGAATTTACGTTCTACTTTTTTTTGTCTTGGTGATGTTTGTCTTCAGATTGTGTACTGGAAAAACCACTTAAAATTTCCAGAGGAGGCCAGATTGACACCTGAAGCCAAGGATCTAATATGCAGGTTGCTTTGTGGTGTTCCACAAAGACTTGGTACCAGAGGAGCAGATGAAATTAAAGTGTGTAAAACGTGGTTTTCTTCCATTCTCTCTTTCTCTTTTCCCCAAAAATGAGTTACTGTTAAATCACAATATTCCCTGATAATATTATGGGTTCTTAATTGACCAGGCTCATCCTTGGTTCAAAGATGTTGTATGGGACAAGCTCTACGGAATGGAGGCAGCATTTAAACCACAAGTCAATGGAGAGCTTGACACTCAGAATTTTATGAAATTTGATGAGGTAAGATATTATGATTTATGAAGAATTCTTTTTTGATTGGTGTGGCTTTTTCGTCTACATTCATGGTATTTTTTATATCCAAGACTTCTATGAAATGTTTTTCATCCTTCCAGCTTGATCCTAATGAGAGAAGTAGGTACTGCTGAAGGAAGTGGCTGTGGGCTTATAATGATTTATGCATAATTTGTTGTACCCATTTATTCCCCTGATGAGCAATGAACTACGGATTTTTTTTTTCTAATTTATTTAGACAGATTAAAATTTATCTCATAGTTTGTCTATTAAAATAGACAATGTTTGTTGAAAATAAAATAGGCAAATTTGATTCACAAAACTGTCAAATTAAAGACAAAAATGTGCTAATATCTCAATATTATGCCAATTGCCTAATTGTGACACATTTACATGGAATCACACTACCCCTGTATGTCAACATAGATGCACAGTATGGCTAAATACAATATTAGGCTGGTACCTCATGACTCACGCTTTTAGCTGCAAACTTATATATGACCATGAATTTAAGTTGTGTTAGTATTAAAACCGGGAACATTGTAACAATACAAATTGCTAGAGGTTTAAGAATATATGAAAACTTTTATCATCTAAGACTAATTTCCATGTGTCCTCTTTATCTCTTAGGTTTGGTTGTTATAATTCCATATCATGATTTGTTTCCCTAAATAGTTGGGATTATGATTAATATAAATAAGGATTAGTTCTCTATGTTTTATGCACACAATTCATTACAACACTTCTCAGTTTATTTCATTTCAGTTTTTCATTCTCTTTTATCTCTTTTCTTCCCTCTATACCTAAACCCCCAACAAGGGGTTAATATGGTTAAATCAAAACATCAATAGCAAAAATGCGACTGACTAATAGATTAGGGCAATTGCAGTTAACCAAATTGAAGGTATACCCTCATTCTAACTTTTCAGAATGATGTGCTTGTGGCATAGTATACTTGCATATTTCATATTTGTACGTGATATGTTTGTCTTCATGAATTTCTGTATGTAACACTTATTCATTTAAATTCAGTCTCCTTCAACTTATTCTTCTTTAATAGAATGAATATTTTCAGAAACAGTACAGATGAAGTAATTGTTAGTGAATTTGACTTATAGCTTATGCTTTCGTATTATATGCATGGATTATTGAGTCTTTTGCTTTTACCTGGTTTCATCACCATTTTATTATGTGGACCTCTAACATGATTGTGATTGTGGTTTTAACAGGTTGAACTACCAAAACAAAGTAGAGGTGGATCTGGACCCATCAGAAAGGTGGACACGTTATTTACTTGAAATTAAAATAAGATTTGTCATGCAATATCAATTAGCTTGCCTCTGATGCTTGCTTTTATGTATCATTCAATTCAAAGTGGAAAATTCCATGTCCTTTAGAATATTATACGGTCATAGAAATCCTTGAATCTTCCATCTTTAAATCTATAAATACACTCTCAAGTTCTCATCCAACTGGTAAGCGGAGGCAAATAACTGCATGAATATGTCTCCGTGGAACTTACACCACATTTAGTTTAGTTCCAATTCCATCATTGTAACATTGTTCAGATTCTCAAGGGAGCAATACATCTAAATACTTTTTCTCTAATGGTGCGGCATATTTTTTCAAGGTTGACGATGCTTTAAAAAACTATGAATAAATTAATAATTCATTTGCTTTATGTGACTTTCATTAATTCATAAGCTCTACCCATCAATGTTGTAGTAAGCTAAAACTCATTTCCAATTTATTGTATCCTCTTTGTTTGCAGATGCTCTTAACTTCTCAAGATCTCAATTTTGTTGGTTATACATATAAGAATTTTGCTGCAGTCAAGGGGATGCGTCAGTCTACTGGTAGGTATTCTTGCTAATGAAGCATAAATTTTACTCTTTGATCTCCCTTGTTATGTCCCAATCTTTGATACCACTCGTTATCAATTTATACTGCTACATTCTTTTTGGGGGGTCAACATTTAACATTTTCTATTTTTGCATAAGATCAGTTGATTAATTTTATCTGTCAAAAATGACACTTCTGTACATATTACAAGTATAAGGATATGTTTGAGAGACCTAAATAACAGAATAGTGCATGCATATGTAACCAAGCTAGCCTTAATTGACCTTGCTTTTCCAAAGTCCAGTAGTTATCTATTAATGACAATGACAACTTGAACAGGAATTTTATGGATAGAAAGTAGATATTTCATTCTATGCATATTTTTCTGTCTAGCCTTATAGCTAATAATTTTGGTACCTCTTTTATTGGCCGAAATACAGAACAGGGGAGCTTGTCACCAAAGCGGTCATCAATTGACTCCACACAGAGTAATGGAACTAAACTTTGATTACTACTCAATAATATTTAGTTAAACTGTTCTAACTTTAACCATTTTACTCTAGGTGATTCTGCAGTAGACTACTCCACCTGATACTCGATGGACACCACAACCCTTTGGGAATGCCTTTTCTCTTGTGAACAGTGACCCAACTTTTGTCTTTTTCCATGTATATACCTTCTTTTGTAACATATAGATGGAGCTTCTCTGATGATGGTGAGTAAGCCTGCTTATTTTCCAACCCAGTTGCTTTACTTTCAATGACAACAGCCACCTATCATGCAGAGCACGGTGTACAGGAATATCTGCGTTTGATGTCAAAGTACATATATATTTGTAAATTTGTCACTGTGTCATGACCTCTAGTGCCAGGTTGACAAAGAAACACGTGCCACCACTTGTGGCAAATTCTGCCCCCTTTCTCCCAATTCACCTTGTTCTGTAGTCAACGAAGTTAAGTATTCCCCTAATGGTACCTTGATTCCAACAACCTTTTGCTTTCGTCAATTTTGATGCAGTTCAAGTTGTTGAGTTACGAGAATGTAATATGTTGACATAATAATAAAATCAAGTGGAATCGAGGCAATTCTCATTCTGATTTGTGATTAGTCATGGACTCGTTGCATGCAATTCTCATTCTGGTTTGTTATTAGTCATTAGATTCACTTAAATTCATTCATGTTCTACTGCACTTGTCAAATTCTAGGACAAGGGAACGACACAAATACGCTGAACACGTTAGTAGTTCTCGTTGCAATGAACAAAAATCGTTGCTTGTGTCATGACCCTAAAACAAAAGTAAATTATCCCAACCTTTTTTAAATTTTGCATTTCTTGCACAAAACCCTCTTTATTTCTAAAGAAATACACAAAACTCATTTAAGTCTTGTTACATTCAAACTTAAAATAATTATTTTTTTATAAAAGTACATTATAATTAATTAAATCTCTATTATAGGAAAAAATGAAATTATTAAACTCATAAATGATAACATTTTTAGAATAACATTAAAGTCACATAAGATCAAAAATAAATTAAATCATAGTTTCACATTCAAAATAAAAGGCTATTTTAATTTTTCTTAATATAAAAAATTAATCACAACAATTATTAAGGGGATGAAATGAAAGAAATTTTTATTTTTTTTATGAATTAAATGATAGCAAAATAAAATCATAATTTATTTATTTATTGATAATTTACATTATCACATTTCAATTGAATCTTTTATTACTATATTTTTTATTTATTGATAATTTTGTTGTAAAAAATATTTTTATTATTTATTTTCTTCTATTATTTTAATGTTATCTTAAAATTTTAATCGTTTAAACATTAATAATTTCAATTTCTTTTACTATTGCACATATATTTAATTTTAATGTATTTAACAGAAAGTAGTTTATATAAAATGTTTAAGAAGTGTAATCAGTCAAAATTTGTAATAAGTCAAGTTGACTTAAAAAATAAAGGTTTTGGGTTATGAGTATCATATTTATAAAATATGAAGAATTTTGTGTAAGTTTTAGAAAAAAAAAAAAGGTTTTGTATAAGAAATGCAATTTTTTTTAAAAAAAGCTGGAATTATTTACTCAAACAAACAAAAAACAAAGCGAAGTGTCATGATTCTTATATGGACGAATCAAGGCAACGAGGCTGTATGATGAGTGGAGAACACAAAAATAAATGAATGAATAAACACACAAAGGAAAAAGAAAGAAAAATGACTCAGATGGGGTAGCATTGTAACTCTGAATCTCACCAAGAGTTACAAGAAGCATAGAAAATGGACGTGCAATTTAATAGCAGTAGGGATATAAAAATCATAAGAACATATTTGGTTTTAGTAAAATATATGTACATACAACTTACAAGAACCTATTATATTCTATTATGGCTTCGCTTGTAATCTAACCTGTCTCCCAATACTAGTTACCTAACTACAAACGTATTATATCGTTAAGTAAGTCTTTATCATAGTTGCCCCAGTAGGATCCGAAAGCAGATGTTTGACTAGACACATTCTCAAGTTATTTGGTGCTATTATGAACATGTAGAATGCAAATAATACAAGATCTGAAGAGGAGAGAGAGGAGCCAAGAAATCCCTGCCACATCCTACGAGGAAAAAAACATTTGATAAGCAATCAAATCAGGTTCGTACCACGAAAAAGCAAACTGGTTCATTCGAAACCAACATGAAGTAAATTAAGTATTAACCTTTGTAGCACAAGGTCAGTATGTACCGTATATTTTAGGTAATAAAAGAATTCATAGCATGTAAAGGATAGCAAAATTTCAGATTTAACTTCATATGTCTCCGGATGCTTTAATAAATCCTAATGCAAAGTAATGAATATAAGTTCCTAGGAACTGACATGAGATAATCATAATCCATCTTATGAATACAAGTTCTTCCATATTTTATCCCATTAGGGTTTGTACAAAAAGTGATGAACTGCACTGTACAAAACATATAGTTCTTTGATTTTAAAGTGGTCATCGATCAACGTGAAAAAGGATAAATTATTGGACAAAATAAAATAATATAAAATAATTCTCAGTGAATAACAGGTTTTGTCTTAAGCATGTCACTGAATCTATTAAATTTTTATTAAAAATCATGTACTATCACTGAATTCAATGTAGTGATAATATTAAATGTTATTATTTTAAATAAAAATTTATTACTTATTAATTTCCTGTCATATGTCTTTAAACGCACGTAAAAGAAAACCATTGTTATAAAAATAATAATTCCCAATTCAGTCCCCTGCTATCCTAATCCTCTCTCACGTCAAAACTGCAACCACCATCTCCATTGTCGCCCCCAACCACTGTCGCTGCCATAGGCATCACAATCTTGGCAATTAAACTCAAACCCAATAAATACTATAAAAGTTGCTTGCAATAAGGTCGGGTATTTACTCAATAATAAGGTCCGAGTCTGGAAATGAATAATTACCCACATGATATATCGATTATACTTTATAGCTAGAATTTGAAAAAATAAATAATTTTGTTATTAAGTTAAAGAACTTTATTTGTAATGCTTTATATTTAAGAATTAAATTAGCTTTGAATATTTTCTTCATTAAGTTGCATATTTTACTTTTAATCAATGTTCTTGTTATTGGTTTTTCATCATTAATATGTATATTATAATAGCATGCATATTTTATTATTAAGTTGTCAAACAAATACAAAATGGGAGACCATACTCAAACTAACTAAAATGAGAGTGATGGGTCTAAGCACGAGTATACAAGTACTTGACGGATAAGGATACAGGCATTAAAGTTCCTACCCACGTTAGCATAAGTCTGGGTTCGGGCATTTTCTTAAAGTGTAAGTAAAGGTATGAGTATTGTAGTACTATTTGCAGATTCTATGTATTGTCATCATTATCACCAGTTCACTATGCTACCACTGCTGTCATTGTATAAACTGTAACGTACAGGGTATTACTGGAAAATCCCCATCCTTATGTCCAGCACTTGTGCATATCAAACACTATTCAGCACGAAAACTTTTGTGCTATGTACCAACCATCAAACAACAAATAGAATCCAAAAGTTGGATTGTCATTCAACCAATAGCCTAGTTGTATTGCTATTCTACTTTTGTAGACCTTTTTTCTTTTTTGTTATATTGATCGCGCATAGAGGATATAGTTCTTTTTCTAGGCATAGGGACTTTTATTTCTCCAAAAAAAATGTAAGATATTAGATGAATAGTATATTAAAGGGTATTGTTGTAAAGTGTAAACTTTTATTCTATCCAATGTTATATCATGCATTACCATATGATAATAGGACTTTGTTCTTAAACAATATCACACCAAACGCTGCATGCTGTTAAAACTTTATTACATCTTAAACTATCATCAAACCTTAACCCATTATGCATACTAAACAGGTCCTTAATGTCAATAAATGCAGGGGCCTCTTTTCAAATAACACCAAGTTAATTTATATGATATGTATGACATATTTTAGCCAAGATAGTACTCCTTCCAATCTTTTTTATAAGACCCTTTCAAAAAAATTTATAGTTCTTAATATAGGACCCTTGTAAAGTTTTGAAGCATTTATTATATTTTCTTTCATAAATATAGAATCTTTCTAACTTCATAAATGTGATTTAATTGAAAGGGTTTTAGTAACATGATCGGAGTGCTTGATACCCATGAAGGACAAGCTCAATGTATGTGCGTAATTTTTTCCTTAAAAGTTAAGCACAAGATCCTAGTCATATTAAAAACACTATAAAACGAATTCCAAGGCATCTATCACATAAATGAGTAAATAGACCATACCAATCAGGTAAGCAGAAGAAAGTACGAAAGAATGTTCTAATGCCCTCAATATCGAGCTGTAGAATTAGCGCTAATCCAAAAAGAAAGAAAGCTCTTTGCCGCTTCCTTTCTTGTGGCCACAGTGTATTCCAAGCTGAAAGAAAAAGAAAATTCAAACGCATATACGAGTAAGAGAAATCCACATAAAGTCTGAAAATGTCAGCCCTCAAATTTTGTAATATACACAAAATCTATATCTATAAAATACTTACACTTTTGTGCCAAACCATATAACTGGGTGAGGAAATAAACATAATAACCATAGTAAAGCAATTTTAGAGAAATTGAGAAACCTCTTTGTCCAAGGCTCAATGATTATGGGAATACTTGATTACCTTGCATAGCTAGATTCTCCTTTCTTCTTTCCTGAGTAATAATGCCCCTTGCATGACCCTCTTTCAAAATAGTAGCAATTACTGTAGCATATTTTGGAGCCTCTGACAAAGATCTCACAACGGAGTAGCCTATCGAATAAATACAAATATTCAAGGGCCATAACTTAAATAAAGCATATCTATTAAATGAAAATGTGACGATGCCATGCCTGTGGCTGGATGCACCATGCTGGCAGCAGCACCAAATGCAAGGTTCTTTTGCTCTGTGTTGGGCAAGGACCCACCAACTGGGATATAAGACCATTCCTACAAAAAAGTTTATAAATGAAAAAGGTAAACATTTTTGGGCACCCAAAATTCAGATTCAGAAGCATGATATCCCTAGATGCACAAGAAGATGTAGTGCATATCATCCCATTATTTCAAATTATAATGTAACATCTTTGAAGGATTGCAGAAATTTGAGGTTGCAGATAAAAAAAAAGTATCAAGGGAAGCATGGGATAAAATTGTTTTCCTTAATGATACAGTATTCAGAGGAAAAAGAACAAAAAAAGAGCATAAACTTGATGACCAACAGATGCCACAAATACCATCAATTAAATTTTGTAAGAGTAACATAAAGAAGAATTGGATTCGAAGGTCATTTAACAATATATATGAGCACGTCAGCATTCTACAATAAGGAATAAAGATGAGCCCTTCTTGGATACACACACACACACACCCACACACATATTATAATTGCTAATCAACAAGCAAATCTAGCATTTCCAACACCTTACCTCTTCATAAGTTTTTGTAATTTTGATCCCCATTGTATTTAATCTTGAAAAGAGCTTTTTCTTTAATAAATCAAAGGGCATGGCATCTTTTGAAGCCAGACAGGTTTCCTGCAATTGGCATTTTCACATAAATGCAATGAAACTGTAACAAGTAATGTAAAACACGGAACTGAAAAACACTGAGCAAACCTCAAAAAACACTCTTGTACGGGACATCGGCATTGCATAGAGAAATGTTGGATACTTTGCTTCTAGACATTTAACATTTTGCTTCATGTAGTCTCTATAATCCATGAAAACCATCAGATTTGGATCATAAGGATTGTTTTCCACCTGAAATTGTAACAAAAAAAAATGTCATTATTACAAGATATCACATCTTATATATTTAAAAAAAGATATTAAAAAAAATGATATATGGCTCAAGAGAAGGAAGAAGATAGACTAATATTCAGAGACTACCCTGAACATGGAACAATTCCTCCAACTTATTCTCGACAAAAGTTAATGTTATTTTTAATATTGCCGTTTTGCACTTTAGAATTAAGCTCCAATAATTCATTAGCTTTAAACAGACATATATCATGATTCACAAACTGTATCGGAGATAAAGAGCATGACAGAACGAAGCACCTATTTTGGTCTGATTTAAACAGACATAGGAACTGTGTTATTAGTAAAACTGTATTGGTACCAAAGAGTCAAAGAAAATGAAAACAGTAGCTTGTCACCTGACTGCTTCCATTATAGAGTACAACTCAGTCATACTAACCAAACAAAGCAAAGGGCTTTCCCAGGTCACACATTAAAAAAGATGCAAGAGAGGAGAAATGTGGAGCTTTTGAAAATAGGGGAAAGGAATCTCAACAATTGTGTTGAAATGAAAGATACTTTTTGTGATACCAGCATCAATCTAACACAAAACACTCAGGAGAAAACCATAGAGCCAGGCAGCCAGCCTCTAACCTCAACTTCCACACCATAAGCTGTTTGGACTGACACCTTTGGACCCCCAACCTCATATTGCAACAGTTTCCCTGAGGCTGCTCCTGATGCAACAGTAACAAGCCTATAATAACATGTCAGAAGTTTCTATATGTAATAGATAATTGCATAAAAATATAAAAAAGCGTGCAATTTATGTCATACCTGCAAGGCACTACAATATCATAGTCACAGACAACATGACTATGACCATTGCTAGCCTCAACAACACTTTCTACTCTTGAGCTAAGATATGAGACACCTGACTCGACACACCTAGAGAAAATTAATATGAATCATAAATCTACAAAAGTAAATAAAATAATTGTTATTAGGAAGCTAAATTATACTTCATAGAAATAACGGTGATACTAAACACATCATCAACAATTTTACCTTCTTAACAATTCCTCGTGAAGCAAATGCCGACTGACACGTCCATAGGAACGTCCAATTAAAATGGGATCCTTATTATCAAGATATACAATGGTATCCTTCCAAACATGCTCAATACAACCTTCAAGTCCAAGACCTGAAATTATAATGAAGCATGTTCATCAGTGTATAATATCAACTAATCAAGTATGCTCCCAAGGAAAATATATCTTTTTTTTAAAGTTACAATGTTCAGTTTGAAAACTATCAAAATATCACAAAACAAATTGTTGATCAAATCATCAATTAGTATCTTTTGATTCTGAGGTACCAAAAGAAATTGTTAACTAGTAATTTTTCCATTTCCTGACAAACTGAAACTTTTTGTTTTGTATATTCATTTCTGTTTATTTACTTATTATGGCTCTATGGGCATTTTGGCCCAAGTTCACATGCGTTAGGGCTAAGTGGAGCGAACTGGGACATATTATTCTAAATGAATGTTGAATAGCATATATGATGTGAGGATAATGTCAGTAGAATGATGCAGCAAGAATGATACCTTTAAATTCGTCCTCCCACACACCATAATTATTTGTAAAAGGAAGATCCGGACCAATAAGCCCAACTTTTAATCCTAACTTGCCAGATTCAGCTGCCAGAGCAAGACCAGCCGGACCACAACCAATCACAACTAGATCCAATATATCGTCTCCTATAGAGATAGGCGGTAACTGCAAGAGTTGTTAAGCAATAGTTCTCAGAAAGGAAACAGAAATTCAAAACACAATTATGTTAAGTATCTCCAAAAACCATACAAAAATGGTGTATAAGTGCATGAAATTTATCAATGCCTTCAAAACTACAAATAATATAACCAAACAAACAGATCACACCAGCCATTAGCCAAACACATTGCACCGCAACTTCATCCACACAATTCAGATATCCAGAAACTGACAGAACAGAGTGCAATTCCACAGAAAAAGAAAATCAATCACTTCATTTATCTACAGCTTCTCAAGATAACTATTTAAACAACCGATAACAGCTACAGTAACCTAGAAGCGAAAGAACCAAACAAAGCCTGAAACATTATCCGTTGAATTTTCCACCAAAAAGAAAAAAAAAACAGAGAGCACGGAAATCCACTCAATCCTCGTTATCATTTCAGAACGGATCACAGTGAATCAAAATACTAAAAACAGAGTGGAGAACCAGAAACCTTATCCGCAAGCTTGGATTGCATTTCCATGGTTTTGTTCTGCTGCATTTGCACGAAAACAAGTTCGGAGCCACCGGCCTTAACGTAATCTTCCTCATCGGCGAAGTCCTCTTTGGTGGCGACGCAACTCCCTACACCGGTTTTGGCCTCCACCTTAAGGCAACGCGAACGCAAACGAACCGCGTGACCACACGACGAGCTTCGTCTTCTCCATAGTTTTTTCCTTCGTAAACGCAACCTGGAAGAAGGGCTTACGCAAAACGCCATTGCCGTTAAGTTTCTGGCTCCAACGCACTCCATTGTTTTCTTTATTTTCTGTTGTTGTCGTTTTGGGTTTACAGCACCGTTTTCTATCACTCCTTGCTCCTAACCATGGCATTCAAATAGCTGCTCCTAACTCAAGACCAAACCTGCAGTTTCATCAACTCGATTCTTAAAACAACGACGTCCCCGGCATTACGAGCTCTCTTTTTCTCCGTGTGTGTGAAGTGAACGGTTTGAGCTTCAGTTTCAGAGGGATATGATATGCTACGTTTCAATTTGCTGACATGTGTAGCAGTCATCCGAAATTACCACGTGGCGTCCTCGGATTGGTAGGTTTTTAAAGATGCTACCCTTATCAGAAACGAGTCGTAGGAGTGGTGACAAATGAAAAATGCAAGCGACGCGAGACGAAAGGAGAATAACTGCGAATACAATCTCAACCGTCGTTCATTTTCGCCCCCGCGATTAAATCCAACGGCGTCAGTTTTATATTCACATTTTCATGGTCCAAACAGTGTGTTTGTGTGTGTCGTGTTGCGTAGCAGTAAGGTCCCTCTCTTCTTCTTGTTTGCCACGTTTTTTCAGACCTATGAATTTTTCAATTGGAGAGTATAGTTGGCTATTCAATCCTAGATTAAGTAGTTTGAATTTAATTGCTAGTATTCAATTTTGATTTCTTTTAAAAAACAATGATTAAGGGAAAAATATATAATTATATTTGTTGACTGAAAACTTAACAAATGAGATTGTATTAAAATATTTATTCATTCATCCCAAATTATAAAGTAGTAAAAACATAATCTATTAAATTTGTAATAAAATATTTTTATTTTACAATTACTTATAATAAAATGCTCCAATTTTCTTTGAACCCTTGACACACTAACTTCATGTGCCAATATCAATATAGAAATTAACAAAAGTTCATTGCAACTTTATTTATGCAAGTAAAATACACCAAACCACGCAACACACACCAAGCGCGCACTTTCAGTATACATATACATGTAAAACTCCATTTCAAGTAGAATTATAATTTGAGATGCTTCATTAAGAATTAACTACTCTGCAATTCTTCCGAATCTCACCCTCAGAATCAGTTAGTGGATTTATATTCCCCATCTTGATCATGGCATATGCAAATTCCACAAAGAAAATTCTCTCATTATCGCTATAAAATTGGACCAAAGGTTTAGTGGTTTCAGTAGCCTCATCACTTGAAAACAGAATCTGGTCAGAGCCAAGAAGACCCTTTTCATTTTGCAAGTTTTTGAAGTAGTGATTATCAAATAGATCCACTGAGTTCTGGTCTAGCACACTAGTTTTGTTCCCATCTCCATTTTGTGGGCACAAATTTTGCAATTCACTTAGCATATTCGTTTCTATTGTACTGTCTGGTCCTCCTGTCTCTGAGAAGTTGAACAATCTATTGCTGAAAAAAGCACACCTTGCCCGTCCAAAAGTGTGGGAACCTAAAGAAATATTTCACATATATGCAAATAGATGGACAAATATTATTATATATATTCAGTTAGAAGAAGCAAGCTAGAAATTTCCATTACTTTTCGATATATGCAAGCAAATTCCTCTTATTCTTTTTACAAGAAATGTTATCAATACTTATAAATTTAAAATATATATTTTATTAACTAAAATTTATTTAAAAAATATATTAAAAAAACATATAGATTTCATTTTTAATTTTATCAACTTCATTTATACTTGTAAAAGGTATATTTCTAGCACTCGTGATATATTGTGAAGTACACAATAACATTCAATTGGCATGTTTAAATGTGAGGTGAAACAGAGAGAAAAATAACTAAAAAGAAAGAAATAAGAGGATGAGAAATAAAGTGAAATGTATTCAATGTTGGGATGAATTGAAATAAGAAAGAAAGAAATTCATTTCACTTGTTTGAATAAGGTAAAAAAGTGTAAAAAAAATTGAATTATGTTAAAAATATTTATAACAAATTAAAATTAATTTAAAAATATTAAATATTTTAATTTCAATTTCTTTATTAATAAAAAAAAATTGTCTTTCCATCTCTATTCCATATTTCACCCCATCTAAACAAGGCCTATCACTTTTTTGACAAATGGGAATTCAAAATAATTTGAATGATGGGTTTGTACTGTCATTGTATCCTATTTCATAGTACCTGATAAAGTAACAACGTCTTTGAGACTGAGGCCAACGTTATTAAACTTGGAAATGATGGTGTTTAATGTGTCAAATGGAGAAGGAATTGCAAGATTTGCAAGAGTCCCATTTGAGACTATTCCATCTCTTCTACCTAGCTGAACAAACCAAAAAGGACCTCCACTCTGCAAAACGTTTAATGCAATTATGGTCAAAAGTAAACACAAACTTAGATAATGGAAGTTATTATACTTAAAATTGTTGTCCACATATCCCTATCATATCCATACCAGATACCATATTCATATCACACAGCTGCATTTTATCAAAATTAGACTATCTTATAATCTTCTCCACATACATGTACAACATTTTTATGTAAGTTTCATTACAAAAATGCCTTTTTTTTTAAATCATTGATCATATTAACGAATCATTGCGTATCATGCATGTACTTACAAGAAGAACAGAATCTCTTGCTGCTATGGCTAATATATCAGCACATGACACAACTCCACTGCATGCACTTTCCACTGAACTTTTGATTGCATCTATAACTTCAAATCCTCTAGCAGAATTCAGGTTAGGGACCGCAAATTTCTCACTATCTTCGCCTCCATCCAGTAGAACTGAACCATCGCAACCCTAAATTATAATAATATTATATTAAAAATAAAATATATAATCAATGTCTTTATTTTTTTAATAAAAAAGTATTATCATTGCTACTTTTTTTAAGTAACCCTACAAGTCTACAGAATGAGAAATGAATACCTGAGTTAACCACCTAAAAAGCATATATTTCAAGAATCATGATATTGAGAAGTCAAAATCACTACCACATGAACTTACATTTACAAAGCAATCATGGAAATGAAGGCGAAGCAAAGAAGCAGCCATACGCATCTCAATTTTCATGGCGTTTTGAACCTCTCTCCTTACTATTCTAAAAAGATCAGGGCATGTTGTCTTATAAAAATCTGGGGTAAGTTGGGACCTTACTGCCACACTCAAAATGAACAAATTCATAAGCCAAAGATATGCATTAAAAGATCTATTCATTGTCTCTTTCTTTTCATCAACTCGCGATTTATGCATCAAACAAACCAAACGTTGGCTTTATTTATAGCCATGAAACGAGACACGTAGCAGTTTTATTTCTCTCTATCGATTATTGACGCAACTCAATCTGCTTCTTAGTGCTGGCGGCAGCAATCTAATCTTATTGTTATTCAAATTAAAACTTTATTGTAAAAGATATATAACAGACAGATGTTTGAATAATCACCAATCACATAGCACATTTGAAAGTGGTGCCACTATACTTCCGAAAAATGTTAACCTTCTATTCGAGTTTGTGAATGAAGGGGGAAAATGTCAATACCACTCACTCAAATGTTTTAAAAGAGAATAATTTTAATTTCTAACTACGGGTCACTATGAAGTTGTGCACGCATTAAGAGTTTAAAATTGTTAATTGCTAACATCTGATGAGTCAAAACACAAGGGTACAATCATGCTCATGCGTGGTGGGGTGAGAAAAATGTCAACTTATAGAAGGGAATAATATGAGTTACCAGTTGTCATGGCATCTTAGGCGTAAGCTTTTTTATTGAAGGGTAAGAAAGTTGATAATGTAAAAATGTTCAGACTGGCAAAAACAACTTAAATAAATTTTTAATCCTTGTAAACTTTGTTGTTTTCGAATTAGTTCCCATAAAAAAAAAACTTGTTAGTGTTTTGTCCTTTAATATTTTAAGAAAATAAAAAATTAATTAAAAATTTTTGTTAAAATTTAATCTTTGATAAGGGCAGAGAGTATATTTGATTTCTGTTTTGAAAACAGTTTTCTTTTTTAAAAAATTAATTTTAATACAAATTTGTATTAAAATTTATTTTTAAAAATAAAAAAAAATATTTTTAAAACAGAAATCAAACATAGTCTAAATTTTTACTTCTTTAAAATGCTAAGAACTAAATACTAACAATTTTTTTTATAAAGATTAATTAAAAAAATAATAATATTTATAAATATTAAAATTCTATTTAAGCCATAATTTGTTCATAGAGCAGCTCAGTTGCTGGACCATCAAATTAAACGCAGTCCTATCTTACTTTCACAATTTAATGAAAGTAGTAGTCCAAACCCTATGAAAAATATAACATTTCATAGCTCTGCCAACAAGAGACCACCTCTGTGGTTAATCCTAGAACTCCACATTTTCTTGATTAATTTCTGTTTGCCCTCTAAAATTAAGGTCCATTTATAATTGTGAAACGTATATCGAGTTTGTATTATAATTTGCACATGTTTTAATCACAATTCAGGTTTAGATATTATTAACTTCGGAAGATTTTTTTTTTCATTTTGATTTAATCACACTTTTGGTCTCTTTATATTAGACTATGTGCAATTTTGATCCTCTAAAAAAAATTTAGCCAATAAGTCTCTTTTTAAAATTAAACAAATTCGGTTCCTCAGTCAAATTTTTTTATCTAAAATTCTTAACTCTTATTTCTTATCCAAATATTTTGAAATTTTTTATAATTTAGGATATAAAATAATTTTAAAATTTTAGAATTCAATATTTATTAGAAATTTAATAAATATTGAAGGATTTTGTAGAATATGAAATTAGGGTTTGAAGAGAAAAATATATTGAGAATTATTTTGAGTAAAATTTGACATTTTGCTTAGGAATTTTGAATTAAATAAAGTTTAAAATTATTTAATGGATTTAATTTGTGAATACTGAGTAAAAATGAAAATTTGAGATTTTTAAGTTTAAAAAAAATGATAGAAGGATAATTTTTCTTAATTTAAAAATAGAAAAAATTATTTAGCCTTGAAAAATTGAGGGATTAAAACATAATACAAACTAGAGTAAACAAAAATGCAACTAAGCCAAACTTTTTTTAAGAATAAAAACTATTTAAAAAAACAAAATGTTTGCCAAAATTATCAAAGTAATAAAAACAAAACATTTTTATCATAAACAAAAAATATTGGAACTCATAATTTAAAGTTACTAGGTGATTCTATAGTTAACTTTTCTTTTTCCTAATTTTTTCTAACAATTGAAAATTTCAAATACAAAAATAATTACTAAAAATAACTTCATATATCTTTTTTCTGTAATTTCAATATAAAAAGTTAATAATTCAAACAAACATTATCATTAAAATAACTTTATACATAACATATTCAAATATAAAACATTTATATAATTAATTATAACAAAAATTGACTACAAATATACTTGATTGCTGAACATTTTCTTTTCACAACTAATGCTAACATATACGTAGTGAGATTTAGGTCTAACCATCATTATACTAAGCTGGACACGATTAACATGTATGACCCAACTTTAGTACATGATCCACACTGACAGTGAGGACTGTGTTCTCTTATTTTCACCAGTTTCATTAGCAAAAAGATTGATGTTGTTCGTTGAGTAAGCTCAAAACGTAACTTTGTGAGCTCCAAATCCAAAAGTAATTAGGTTCATTAGTCTAAAGCACTGTGTTAAACCAAAATTCGAACTTGCATTTTTCTATAAAATATTAGGGATGATTCAAATGTTACTCCTCATCAGTGTGTGCTCCTTATAGAATAAAGTAAATAATGTTCTTTAAATTTTAGGAGACTTGCCAGTTGCTCCTATACCAGAACTTGTTAGTTGTTACTGGCTGGAGAGAGTATCTCGGAACTCATCACCAAACAATTGACAACCTCCTATAATAAAACTCTGTTTTTACTGTTTTCTCTATACAGATCTTCAAAATAAAAAATAAAAAAAAATAAAAAAAAAATAAAAAAACAAAGTGAAAAAACAAGGAGTTCTCAAGGCAAACAGATTTTTAATGTTTAAGTTCTAAGGGAAGGTAATACAACATTACTAACAGATCTTTATATGGCCTATATGACTTCCAACTCCAATTCAACGACACAGTTGAACATATAAACCATTACAAGGAGCACCTCACATCCTTTATGCAGTTTTTTTTTTTTCAAAACCAAGCAGTTAGGACTTAGGAGGGTGATTTTCAGAGAGATTTACTTCCTAACCTTCAAAAGTTCAAATTGATCACAAACCTAACAAAAGACTAAGTCAGCACCTGACTAACACATAAGCAAGTTTGGTCAGAACATGCTTGCCTCTGCTGGCCAGTTGGTACTGTATCTTCATAAAAAAAAACTATCGTGTGTTGAAAGCTAACTTAACCGTATTCTAATAATGAATCTTACTATGGAACAAAAGTATATGGTAATATATCCAATATGAAAACATTCAATTAACCAGTAAAAATTCTATTAACATAGGCATCCACGCTAATTAAACCTCCGATTGGATCAAAAGAGAGATATTGAGCAAATGCAGCCAGCCACACGCATGATCAACAAAACATATGCGGCCAAACAGCAACAAAAGTTAATTTGGTAAGAATTGTGGACAACTTACATATATAACCATGCATAGAGAAACTCAAAAAAAAAAAAAGAGAGAGAGAAAAAAGGAAATCAAAGCAGCAGACCATCAAACCTTCAGAATTTTGCAATGAAAGCATATTAGAAAAAAGTACGCCAAGAGGGGGCTCTAACATTCCCTGCTAACCAAGTATGTTAATTGCCAATATTTTAAAGGAACAAGAAATAATGTTGAAACAGAAAGCTAATAAAAACAAAACAAATGAATGGTTTTGCCAGTTACAAGAGCACAAGCCCAAGTTCTGATGGTTTCAAAGCATTACGAATCCTATAATTGTACAAGTAGTAGTGAAGCTGTCCATCTCCTGGTCCAAACTTGAGATCTTTGAGGAAACTCTCATTGTGCATTACATCCAAGGCATTGAAAACATCAAAATCCTTTTGCTTTGCCACAATTAGCGCATCATTCATCAACTGAGGCAGTGGAATTTTGGTGGAGACATTATAATAGGAATAAGCAGCTTTCAAAATGGAGTAAGTTTGATTTCCAAGGATAGAAGAAGGAAGAGTATAGAAGCTGCAGAAGTCTGTGATCTCATGATTCTCTGGACTCTCCACCAAGAAACTATCCACCACATTCTCATTGGGAAGAAGCCAATGCTCAACATCATTTTCATCAAAATCAGGTGCAACAACAAACTGGCTCAAGTAGTTCCTAAGCAGCCGAGTAACAGCAGGGACATCCCGAAGCTCCATTTTCCTGAATCCAGGAGTAACTGGTGCATCAGGTAACTTGTAAAGTTTTATAGTGCGGCTCATTGTCATCCTAGCACCAAGCCTTGAAAACCCAACATCAATAAGCTTCTTTGGATTCAACGACCTATGCCAATACTGACAAGTTGTTATTGGCGTTGGAAGAACAACTCCAGCTGTATAAGCAGCTTGCCAGATATTCTCCAAATGAACCCTCCTGGTGACTTCCTTGATCATAACAGGGGCAAGCCTCTTTGACCTAAGCTTCTTATGAACACACAAGAAATTGATCTCTGCCATCTTCACAACCTCCTTATTAACCCTGATTCTGGCAGGGACACCACTAATGAAAGCAACCAACTTCTTCGATGCTTTTGCCCGAACACCAATGTGCCAGCTCCGGTAATAACCGGGCACACGTAATGCCCAGCTTAGGAACTCCTTGGAATAGTTGAACCTAAACATGTTCTCATCATCCTCAACATAATTATTCTTCAGCAGAGTGTAAACCTCTTCACAAATTTCTTCAGATTCCATGTCACATGTGGTCCACTCATAAGCACTTGGAAGGTTATAAGGTTCCTGCTTGACCTCAGACAAAGGTGTTGGGGGCTCAATGGGCCCTTCAGGCAAGCTTGTGTCCCCAACATCCTTGTATTGCCCAACAGGCTGAGTTTCCCAGAACTTATGTCTCTTTCCAAGAGACATTGAATCTTGGAAACTTTGCACAATGGTTTCCAACGATGCATCACCCTTGGAAACCACCGAGTCTCCATCCACCACAGAATCTGGTTTTGCTTTTGGAGACCCAGATGGAGAACTGCTATCACCCATATTCAATTATCAAAATTTCCAAACGCTGTTGAAAAATAATGTATCAAACAAAAAATATTTCACAACCCTGGCAGTGAAATAAAAACTATTCGAAAAATAACAATAGTAATAATGATTCAATTTGAATTGAAACAGAGAACCTCGATCCGGTGCAAACTGAAGGAGAAACAATGCAATAAGTGGGAATTAAAATAAAATTACGAGTATGATTAAAAAAAGGAACGATGATGGATTATATTTATATGGAATGAAAATAGTGAGAAGTGAAACGATGATTAACTCACAGTGTGGATTGAGAATATGGGTTGCTTTTGTTGTTGGGAGTGGAATTGCGTGAGTATCTATCTGATGCGTGTGGAAAGCATTGGGGGAAACGAAGGAAGGATGAGTGTGTGTTTATCGTCTCCCTTGACGGGTTAACCAAGGACTCATTCTTCATCTTTATTAACGGTTTTGTTTAGGGTTAAGTTTCAAATTCCAATATAGAAAACTATTTCTTTTTTATTTTAAAAATATTTACTATATAAAAATATAATAAATATTTTTTAAAATTTTTTATTGTTTGTTGTTTAAATTTTGAGAGTTTAGATTTCTGTGCATGGATGTTTTTCAATAAAAATTAAAAAACAATAAATATTTCCATTGTTCATAAATATTATTTTATCATATTAAATTGACTAATTAATTAAATATATAAAATTAAGAAGATCAAGTCATTTAAAAAAAAGGAAATTATGAAAATTTATTAAAATCAAAATAAATAACCTTTGTTGAAACGATATCTCAAAATTTAAATTTTAAAAAAAATTGGAATTCAGATTCGTTAAGATTACAATAATCTCAAATTTAATTTTAAATATATTATTAGTTTTTTAAATTTTATTTTAAGAGTTTTGATTTATTTTTTTTATATCTGTTAAAAAGTTCTGCGCACGGGTGTTTTTAAATAAAATTTAAAAAATAACTGATATTTATATTTTTGTTTTTAAATGAGATTTAAAGTTCAATTGTTATTTTATATTAAATTAATTAATTAATTAAAGATATAAAATTAAGAAAGAGGTAATATAATTTTTTATAATATATGAAAATAAGTTATTAAAATCAAGATAAACTACCTTTATTTAAATTGTCTCAAAATGTAAATTTTATAAATTTATTTATATTAAGATTACTTGACATTATATAATCTCAAATATAATTTAAATATTTTTATTTCGAGTATTTAATATAATTTTATTTATTAAAATTTAAACTTGAAATTGTTGAAATTATTATTTACCAATTGATCTATATATTTTAAAAAATAAAATTAAAAAAGTTTATTTAAACTTTTATTTTTATATTAGTTTTTTAATTATTTTAATTTTAATTACTCACATTTAGATTCTATAATTTTGTAATTATTTAAATTAAATTTTTTATTTTAAAAAATATAATAGAAATGTGATCTATTATCTATTTGTATAAATTAATACAAAATAAAATATTACAAAATTATAATGAAATACTTTTATTTTATTTATGAACATGTATTAACGATAATACTTTCGGAAACTTTCTCACTGTCTAATTGTCAATTGACTTTTTTTTACTTAAATATTTTTAATTTAATATTAATTTAAATTTTTTATTTTTTATAATTTGAATTTTTAAATATATTTCTTTATTAATTTTTAAAAAATAAATTAGAGTATTTATTAATAATAATTAAAGTCTTAAGTTTTAAAAATTAATAAAATCTAAAATAATCATATTATTTTATTTTATTATTTTATCTAAAGTATTTATTTAAATTTAATAATTATCGTACAATGCATAAAAAAATCATTTTATAAAAATACTCAATAGAGAATAAGGTACATGTGGTGTACGGCTTGTGAATATAATTGATCATATTACCTTTATTTTGAGTTGTAATTGAAATATTTATGTATTGTTTATTTACAACTTTTTTTAATCAATCTCATCTTTCATAATTTTTTTTAAATTTTATTAACTCCAATTCTTAAGATTAAAGATAAGCAGATAATAATAATAAAATTTTATTAAAAAATAAAGTATTTATTATATTTTTATAACTTTAATATAATAATTATATATTTTTTTATAAAAAAAATTTATTTGTAAACGCTTAAACTCAAGCTTAAAGGCTAAAGTTAACGAAATCTAATTTTTTTATATAATAATGTTTATCATTTCATGCAAAAACGTGAAAAAAAATCAACAGAAATTAGTTTGAGTAGTAAGTAATTTAATATCGTTTAAGAAAAATCTTAAATTTGAGTCTTTATATATGTAAAAAAAATTTCAATAATAAACTTATCCACCACATTTCAAATTAAATCGGATGAGAAACAAAAAAAATGTGAAAAAAAATATTACCAAGATGAAATAAAAATTCTCAAAGAGAACATTCATCAAATTTGTAATTATTTTTGTAGAATAAATCAAGACAAATATTTATCTTAAATTTTTAATTTTATATGATTCTAATTCAATTATTTTTTAATTAAATTTGAGGGAAATATTAATTATTTATAGTTCCATCTTGGTTTTTTTATATATATTTCAAAAGTTATTAAACAAATAAAAGAATATTTCTGTTTCTTTATTCAGTTGTAATCATAATTCCTTTCGTTGATGAACTTTTATCAATTTTTAAAGGTGCAAAAATTTGTCACTCCTATTAAAAAATATTAAACTAAAATAAATAAATTATTAACGATGACTTGGATAAACATTAATCTTACGCATTGCCTAAAATGGTACTCCACTTAAAGTTGGACATCATGTTACAATTCATACAAATGTAAGCAATATACTTAATTAACAAACGGTGAAAAGTTTATTTAAGTAATGATAATAATAATAGCAGCAACAAAAGTTATGTAGTAGTGAGTTAGGACAACAATAATTAGTAGTAACATGACTATAATGCTAACGGAGTTGTTTAGTTGTAATTGTTGAGAAAATTACGCTGAACTTTCTTGTAGCGTCAGATTTGTGGAAGTGAAAAATAAATGTGGAATATTGCACACACAAATTGATAACGGAGTTCGGCTAATAATGCATACGTCTCCGAACTACTGCAGATATTTTACTAAAGAAAGGGAATACACTCAGTGTTTACAAAACACTCAAAAATGACTCACAACCATTCACAACCCGTAACCCAATTGTACCCAGAAGCTAAACTATTTTTTCTATTTTTGCTCTATGAATATTTTCAGTTGTTCTACATATTTTGCCTTTCATTGTTTCCTTTATATAGGCAAATGAAACGCTCAATTTTCAAAATGCGTTAGGCACCGAATTTTCAAATTGTACGCGTTTTCCTTTCTTCTTCGCATGTGCCTTTTTTTTTTTGACTTTTCAACAATCTCCCACTTGAAGACTGATTTCAATCTGTCTTCACACCTCAATCAATGCAGCAGTCTTTTCTGGTCTGTTATTCTAGCAGGCCAACTGAAGTTGAACACAACTTCAGTTTGTCAATGATCACCACCTTTGTTAGCATGTCTGCTAAATTCTTGCTTCCTACAATCTTTTTCAATGTCAGCACCTCATCCTCAAGCAGAGTTCTGATGAAGTGATAACGTATATCAATGTGCTTTGTTCTAGAGTGAAACGCTGAATTCTTCGCCAGATGTATTGCACTCTGATTGTCACTGTGCAAAACACTCCTTTCTTGGATGAATCTCAGCTCTGTTAACAAACCTTGAAGCCATATCAACTCTTTACTGGCTTCTGTTACTGCTAAATACTCAGCTTCTGTAGTGGATAAAGCAACAATCTTCTGTATCTGCGATATCCAACTGACAGCTGTAGTACCAACAGTAAAATGTAACCGGTGGTACTTCTTCGGTGATCGACTTCACCTCCGAAGTCTGCATCTACATAGCCTTGTACTTTTAATTCTCCTTTTCCAAAGTACAAACACTTCTTTGTTGTGCCTCGTAGATACCTCAAAATCCACTTGACTGCTTCCCAATGAGCTTTTCCTGGATTTGCCATAAACCTTCTTACAACTCCCACTGCATGGCCAATGTCTGGCCTAGTACACACCATTGCGTACATCAAACTTCCAATGGTTGAAGCATATGGAATCTTAGCCATGAAGTTTCTTTCTTCCTCCGTCTGAGGGGACTGATCCTTGGATAGGCGAAAGTGACTGGCCAAAGCTGTGCTAACTGACTTGGCCTTACCCATGTTGAATCTTTGTAAAACACGATTGATATACTCCTCCTGAGATAACTGCAAAATTCCTCTTTGCTTATCTCTCGTGATTTGCATTCCAAGAATCTTCTTTGCTGGACCTAAGTCCTTCATGTCAAATTCTTTTGACAGCTGCATCTTTAGATCTCTAATCTCGTTCATATCTGAACCTGCTACTAACATATCATCAACATAAAGTAGCAAAATGATATAACTGGAGTTATACCTCTTGAAGAAACAACAGTGGTCAGCATTGCATTTCTGGAAGTCTTCCTTGTGCATGAAGCTTTCAAACTTCCTATACCACTGTCTTGGGGCTTGTTTCAGGCCATACAAGCTCTTCTTTAATTTGCATACCATATTCTTTTTCCCTTCTTCTGAGAAACCTTCAGGTTGATGCATGTAGATTTCCTCATCTAAGTCTCCATGAAGAAATGCAGTCTTCACGTCCAATTGCTCAAGATAGAGCTCTTCACTAGCCACAATACTTAAGACAGACCTGATAATATTGAGCTTTACAACTGGAGCAAAGATTTCAGTGTAGTTAACTCTTTCTTTTTGCTGAAATCCTTTGACAACTAGTCGGGCTTTGTATTTCTTGGAGCCATCATGATCCTCCTTCACCCGATACACCCATTTGTTGTGAAGTGCCTTCTTTCCCATAGATAACTCAGCTAGTTCCCATGTCTGATTAGAAATCAAAGACTTCATCTCGTCTTTCATAGCAAGCTCCCACTTGTTGGCATCTATAGTTTGACATGCTTCTTCATAATCTTCAGACTCTCCTCTATCAGTCAACAACATGTAGTCCATGTATCTCCTGTTAGGCACATGAGGTCGAGAAGACCTTCTCAATACAGGAGTTGAAATAGGAGCCTCTGATGTGTCAGACTGCTGCTTACTGTTCTCTTCAATTGATTCCTCTGACTGAGGATTCTCAACTACAGGATTTTCTGGGACATCATTCACTTCTGCATACACTGGCTCAATCTGTTCTGCATTGTTGGCGCTTGTGCTATGCTTGTCCTTGTACATCACTCTTTCATTGAAGATTACATCTCTGCTGCGGATCATCTTTCTGTTTTCATCATCCCATAGGCGGTAGCCAAACTCATCTTCACCATAACCGATGAAAGTGCACTTCTTTGATTTGGGATCAAACTTACTTCTGCCTTGATCATTAATGTGCAC